AGACAGTCAAGTTCCAAATCATCAATTAATTAATTAATTGTATGGATGTAATTAATTAATTAATTAATTGTAATATCAAGTAATTAATGTAAAATATACTTTATAATACAAGGACCTTGCTTGCAGTGTTTCATTTTATTCTGAAATAAAAGAGTTGATTTCTTTAATAAAAATTAGTAACTCTGTAGAAAAATTAGGTTATTTTGAAGCAGGCGACATGAGCAATACCTCCTGAATGAACGTGGGCCTCCTAAATACGCGCCTAGTGTGCTACCGTTACACCACGAAGGCATGCTGGAAGGAAGAAGAAAATACTTTATATACTCCCCCTTTTAAATGGCGACTGGGGATTAAGGGACCCAATCGCCAAATCCTAGTGGTCAAGAATCATCATTCAGCAACTTTTATAGTTCGGGTGCCACTGTGGGGGGAATTTAGGTCATTTTGAAACAGGAGACATGAACAATGTTCTCGCCGGGACTGAAACCTGGAGTTCTCGAATACACTCCGCGTGTGCTAACCGTTACACCACAAATGTATACCGGAAGGGAGGAAGAAAATACCATATAAATAAATATTTACTATTGCAAACACTCTAGTTTGTTAAATTAGCAGAGAAAGGATTACGTCGAATCGGTTTTAAAATGCGCATAATATAATCGAAAAAAAAGCACTGTAGACTTAAAAATTTCAACTTAAACTAAATTTTGAAAAGCTGCTTTACTTTAACTTTTTATGTTCTAAAACTGGCAAAAGAAAACGCTTCCTTAGTTTTACATAATTCCATTTAAATTAATATCATTGCTTCAAATGCTTTCACAAATATATGAATATTCCTTCCTTGCTATTGAATTCAAAGTCACTAAGAGAATTCTTTAACTTAGAAAATAAAAGATATACTTAAAATGATAAAATAAATAAAATAACAGATACTACTTAAATAAATTAAAAAAATAAAATAAAAGATACTACTTAAAATGATCGGTATACTTGTTCTTCTATATATATCTTGTTCTTCTTGATATTGAATTAAAGTTAAGAATAATACATATAGCAATAAAAGTATTCAATCCGCTTATGACTGCTCCTTTAAAATGGTATGTAATTCTAAATGTAGCAATTCTCAAGTTTCGCAGAATATTGAAAAAAAAAAAAAAAAAAAATACTATGCTCAATTCTCAAAGTTGTAATATGACATCTGAAGAATTGTACCATTTATTTTACAAGACAAGCAATAAAATGCTGACGTATCGCCATCATTAGCATTTGGAACATAAGGGAGATTTGAAATTAAAATTTTGTAGTCCGATGTTTATCTTCGAATTCATTGCACCTGTATTATGTTTTCTTAGATTATACTTTTCGCTATAAAATATAGCATTTGCTTCAAATATCAATTTACTTTTGTCGCGAAATAGAAGTTCTTTCAGACCGAAAGCTATCAAAATTTATTTCTCTGGAGAGTGTTTTCAAATCCGGCGTCTCTTATTTAAAAAATTATAGCATAATTCTGAACAAATAGTGTTTTAGTTACAAGTGTGAAGTCTATGAAATGTTATTCGATTTTGAAATATATTTTCAAAAGATGAACTGAAAGATTATCTGTAGGTTACAGCGAATACACGAAATAATTCAGATAAATATTAGCTTTATTAAGATGCTTACATGCCGGAACCAAAGCGGCACAGCTGCACCGGGTGGCGGAATTTATGCCTTGCAAAATTCGCAGAATTTAGACATGCACAGGGCAGCAGAATTTAGAAATCGCACAAATTGTATCGGACTAAAAAATGTCTAGTGCTTAGTCTGGATTTCATAAATTCCCAGCAGTGCTGGGATTTTAACATTCACATTAAGAAACCTTTCTTAAAACTTAAACTATTTTATGGACAAAATTAAAACTTTAATTATATACTTATATATAATGAGTTTACAACGTTTTAGAACTAATCTAGTACAAAATGAAAAATAGAAGAAAATGTCTTATGTTTTAGCCTGCAGTCTTAGTCTTATGTCTTTGTACGTCTATACACCTTTTGGCATTTTCATATAGCTGTTTGATTTCTTCATGGAAGAAAGCTTTTGGAATAATGTTCAAGCTGTGTCTGGTTACGGGTAGTATGGGGTAGTTAGCATACTACCCGTAACCAGACAGCTTGAACGTTACCCAGAACGGGTTTATGTCTATAAAAACGTTTACCCAAAACGGGTTTATGTCTATGAAAAATATGTGAAATATTGTAAAAATAGGCTAGGGTATAGTTATCTTTGGGCAATTATATCGTGGTTTACAGCAAATTCAGTTATCATCTTACAAGGAAGAATAAATAAAAATAACTATTGCAGTTGTTTTAAACGATCGTATCCTTTCACTGATTAGACATTATTTTTTATCGTGAGTTGTTCCTTTGAAGAAGACAATGGACCCATTCATAAAGTCAGATTGTTCAGCTATGATTTTAAGAAAACGAAGATTAAGTTACGTTTCTTTTCCGGCGTGTAAAATTACCAGTCTTAAGTATAATCAAACCATTGTTTTCAGGGCTAGGAAAAGGAGAGTGACATCTTTTTTTCTAGCATCAGTCAAGAAACTGTAGCAGTTTCTGACGCAAGAATGGCTACAAAATACTATTACCATTGTTCATAACTGGCATACTTCTACTTCAAGAAGAATTCAAGCAATTTACAATCCAACAGCTGCTTTTACACGTCATTAAATACATAATTCTTCATTCGATTCGCCCAACCGGTATAGTAGTTAGCTCGCTGACTGCTGTGCCGAAGGGCCAGGGTTCGAACACCTGAGAAAGCATGTATGTTTGTAAATGTAATAGTATCCGTGCGGGATGAGAGCATTCTAAATATTCGACAAGCCGAAAGGCCTTTCACTCAAAGAATCTCTAAGATCTCCTTAGAGATTCTTTGTTTCGCTGGTAGAGAATGAGGGATGGGGAATCCTCCGACCCGTCTCCCCCGGGTGCTCCCCATCAAAATTGTGTAGGGGGGATAAATTAAGTTGCACTGTCACATGTAATGTGCTGAAGGCTGTTGCCAACATGAGGCGTAATCTTGCGTTCCTTGCCACGAGGAATTTCGTGGGCTTGGGCTGATATAAGTCAGACAATTGAGCATTATTCAACAACAACAACAATTTTTCGTTTGCTTAGGTGCTTCCGGTTATATTGGATAACCTTTAACCATTATGATGATAATATATCTCAGTGACGGTACTTTATATAAAAGTATTTTATATAGAACAATAGGAATAATGGCGCAATTTGTACCACAAGTATAGTCATTTTTACTTGTGCTTGGTATCATCCAGATCGTCGTTTTCTAGTTTGCACGAACTGGTAAGTTGACTTGTAAGGATCTTAAGTTTTACTAACGTTTATTTTATTTTAAATCTTTACTATCACTTCTTATTTTCTACTTCCGGCCAGAATTAAAAGCGTTAACTTATTTATGCAAAATTTGTCTGGCGAACGCCAAGTACTTAAGTTGTGGCTTTTTGCCAAGCGAGAGAGAGGAAGGAGTTAGTCGAAGCAGGCCGCTTGCCTCAGAAGTTTTACTCGGTTGCTGTTTGCCTTCCAGGCCAGAGGTTTAATCCTCGTGATAATTTTAAACGTATTGTAGTGTTAACAGTTCTATGTACTACATACGGCTTCCTGTTAATATACGGCCAATCGTCCTTGTTTATTATTCGAAAGTTAAGTTAGAGTTTAGTTATATTTTTATATTCTTACGTTCAGACCACAAGTAGTTGGTTTCTGTATTCCGAAGTACGGAAATTATTGTAAAGAGAGAAAAATAAAGGGTTTTGTATACCCTTCTTGTGTATCCTGTCTACTTCCCACAGTTATTGAACATAGCTTTAGTAAGCTCCCTGTTCCGAGTCAGGTCCTTGCATGTTCCCAAAGAAAGTAAGACGGAACATTGAACCTGATAGACTTAGGTATTCCGCTATAAGACTGCGAAATATTAGGTGTAATACCGAAAATAACTACAGTACAAGGTCTTCAATCCGGACTCGTCGGGACTACGGCGATTCCGGATTAATGGTTTTTCGGGATTTATAGATCATCAATTTAAATCTGGTAAGATGGCATGCAGAAATTATAAAATTAAAAATATGAAACCGTAATTTATGAAATAAAGAGCAATTATGATCTAAAGGGTATCAAAATGTACAAAAAAAATACTTATATTTATTTTTTTTACTTTATTAAACATTTCTTTTAATGTAAGTTGTTTAAGTTGCTTCGTTTTATGTGCTAATACTTTCTCTTTAATTCTATAAACAGATGTAATTTCTTGTTCAGTTACAAAGATCCGCTGTTCAAGTCCTGTAATTGCTGTGCCGAGAATACCAACTAAATTGTCAATCGAAATTTTTTCGTTTTCACTAACCTCTCTGTCATTTTCTTTTTGTCTTTATCCATTTCTTTCTTTTTTTTTTTTTTTTTTTTTTTTTTTTTTTTCCAGCAATTCCACTTTTTTGTTTGACGGACATCGAAACATGTTTCCGCTTTGTAGATCCTTTGCTAGCTCCAGAATCGGAAACTCTTTTTGACATAATCGAAAGTTCAAGCTTACTTTTTATTAAATTGCTCTAACAGTCTGCCAAAAAATAATAAGCCGGATCCAGTTAGAAGATTAAGGAACAACGTAATCTGAAGCATTAACTGAAATAGATAATTAGATAATTTTAGCCTAGCTTATACCGTCCGTTATACATTAAACGCGCATGCGTAAACGTATTATGCGCATGCGTAACGCTACGCATGCGCAGAAAGTTTGTAGCTTTGATTTATGGATTATAGATCATTCCGGATTATGGACGTCTGGATTAAAGACTTTGTACTGTATAAAACATTTAATGATGCAATCTTCGTTACTATAAGAACATCCGAAAGATGTAAGTTAAAATCTTCACTTCAGTCGAAAATATGCATATTTTCTGTATTTTAAAACTAATAATAACATTATTATTTTTTCAGATGGCTTATTTTACGGCTATATTTCCTTATATTGTTTTGACTGCTCTTCTGATTGTTGCACTTCAAGGCGACGGAGCTGCGAAAGGAATCGTATTCTTTTTCATGCCAGATGTAAAAAAACTGGCTGACATAAAGGTAAGTTTTCTTTTCGTTATTTAAAAGTATTTCTTGCTTTTTCTTAAAAAAACAAGCAGTGTTTAGCTGAAGAATATTGAAGTTATGTATGTGTACTTAACAGAGTCACTGGGGGCTTTTTGAAGCAGGGAGACGTGAAAAATGTGCAGTGCCCCCGCAGGGACTCTAACCCACATGTACAGGGACTCTAACCCTAGACATCTCGAACACCCGTCGAGTATGCTTCCAATTGCACCACGAAGGCATGTAGAAAGCAGGCAGAAAATACCTAAAAGGTGTCAAGACAGGGCCATAGTTTAGCTCATAATCGTGCAATCTGCTTTACACAGATTTCTGATTCATAGCTTGCAGTAATCGTTAAATAAATGATAGATAACGTGAAAGATGATCGGGGATGAGATTTTCTTGCCAGGTCCGTGCAGAGTTTTAAAGTCTAACTGAGTGAAATCTACCAAATATTGCGCCATTAATTGCGGATTTCTGACATAAAAGAGATCAAAGAGAACATAAAAAATGCATGGCTTTCATGACCACATTGCCATCAAGCAATATCTTGCATTTTGCTAGTTGCGGAATTATATTTCCGACGCTGCTCATCACGGGTGTTATAAGTTCTTATTTGAGACTTCAGGGACTGATGTTCTTTGTTGTCTTGTTTCAGGGTTGCTCTGTCAATTAATTCTTCCACAAAGATAGAATTCTGGGTAGCTGACGAGATTTACCAATTTTCTTCTGCAGGTCACCAATGATTATCGAAGTGGAGTCAAGTTGTAAATTGGTAAAAATAACTTTTTCCCGAAGAAGGACTTTTGAATAAATATAATCAAGAAACGTTTCACTGTGGTTCAGTTTTTGTTCACTGTAGTGTACTTTCATTATAATGCTCCTCTTAAATCCTAAGGCGAGAGAATTTGTCCGTGCAATACAGTCAATGTAATTTTTCCCTGTTGGTCAACTACCAGTTTTTTGCCAAGGCAAAAAATAAGATTAGTTAATACTTTACCGACCGATCGCCTATTAATCAGCTTTTTCTCGCCAACGTCTACCGACCGATATCCTAATAATCGCTTTTTTTCTCGGGGCTACCTGAAAATAGCTTATCAATTGGTAGCCATGGCGAATAAGCAATTGCCATTTGCTATATCATCTGCATTTTATAATTAGTATTGAGGGACATTGCTCACTTGCGTTAAATGCGTTGCTTCGTAAACTCCCCCTTTTCTCACCGTTTTTAAAAAATTGACCGTTAACGATGAGCGAAAAAAATGGTACTGGAGAGTTTTATTTCGACGATTTATCAGATTGTCCCGACAGTTATTCAGGACAGGGAGAATCTGCGGCCGATCGGACGTGCATATGCTTTTGAAACTCTAGTGGTCGGTGTTGTGTTAACTTTGGTTCTTTTGCCCAGAGAGCCGGTGTTAAAATTCTGTCAACCTCCTTGAGCTATTCGAATGCATTATAAATGGCATATCCTTGAAACTTCTAAAATGAATTTGCGGTATCATGGTGGACGTAATTTAGCGAACGTATTTTTTTTATCTAATAGCAATTGTTGTGTCTATAGAAAGGCAGCAAGAATCGCAGTTATGAATCTATTTGAGAAAAAGGGAGGTTATGGAGAGAAGTAATGGGTGAAGACGATTACTTAAAAGGTCTGCTTGTATTGTTAGCGATTCGATTTGTTTCAATAATTCTGTGTTATCAGGAAGTGTTTCCTCGGGATTATTGTTATCCTAATTTGTCGACTGCATATGAAGAGTGATTAATTCATCTAAATTTCATCTTATGTTTTTTAATAATATTGTCCTCCACAATGCGCGAGATTAAATCATTTTTATTATAGTTCAGAGAACGTTTTTCTAATTCCATTTTCAACTGTTCGATATTTAAATGAAGTGTCTGCATCTGTAAAGAAATCAAAATAGTATTTAGGTGTATTGGTATTTTATTTGCTTGTTTGTGCACAGCGGGTCTTGGCTAGAAGGGAAAATAAGCGACGTCCTCGGCGAGAAGAGAGCAAGTATTATTTATAAAAAGAAATGCTACTTTTAAAAATTTTAAGAACAAAATAATAATAAAATTATTATTAAAATGATATTTCCTGGGAGAAGCTTAGACAAAAGATGAAAACACATCAGGAATATTCATAATCGAACTCATTTAAAGAGCTTGTAGTGAAGTTCATCGAAAGTGGTTGAAAAAGAAATGAAAATTTGGGGTAACTGCTTTGAAGCTTTCACGAAAGAATTTCAATTATTGTTTGTTATATTTTAAAAAGATACTTGCTGCATTATAAAAGGGAAGTTAATGTATAAGGTATTTCTTACGCCTTCTTAGCGTGCCTTCGTGGTGTAGTGGTCTGCATGCTGGGCGTGAAATGCAGTGGCGCCCGAACTAAAAGGGTGGTGGATGATGATTCTCCACACACAGGATTTGGCAATTGGGTCACCTAAAACCCCGGTCGCCCTATAAAAGAGGGAGTATATAAGGTATTTCTCCCGACTTCTTAGCTTACTTTCGTAGTGTAGTGGTCTGCATGCTGGGCGCGTAGTCCAGAGGTGCGTAGTTCGATTTCCATTGGTCCAGAGGTGCGTAGTTCGTTGCTCATTTTCCATCTTTCTTGCTTCGAATTAACCTAATTACTCTATAAATGTCCTGATATAATAGTGAAATGGAGAGATGAAATTGACAACAAACAAACTACTGGTACCGCACATTTTCAAGTAAATATTTCTTTTTTAAATCCCCGTGATACAAAGCACAAATGTGAGCTTTGCATTGCTGTCGGATTAGTTAAAGTTTCGATTTACTTCTAACAGGATGAAATTTTTTTTTCGTTTATACCGATATATAAATGTAGGCTTACAACAGGTGTTACTTAATATGATCATGGTTAATACTGTCATTCGGATATTGTTATCGAATTTGCGAAATCCCATCTTTCTGTATAAGGAAAGAAGGAATATACATCACTTATTTTGATCAACAAGTTGGTTAATGTTATCAAAATATTGCAGAACGAATCGTTTAAATTGAAGTAAAAATACTAAATCATCACCACATTATGCTGAGCAGTGATAGAGCAGTGATCTTCAAAACGTTATTCATGTAAAACATGGAAATGATTTTAATCGCTATTAAGGCTACCAACTCAAAAATGTGCAATCATTGACTACTATATTAAGGCTACCAACTCAAAAATGTGCAATCATTGACTACTATATTAAGGCTACCAACTCAAAAATACGCAATCATTGACTACCATATTATGGATACCACAAAATGTTCCTGCCATGGATACTCTCATTTGAAAATATAACATTTTAAGTAGAAGGAAGCTCATAAAAAAACGGGAAAATATTGACTGTGTTGTAAATTTAAGTAAATATTTGTGTTTATTTGATTCTGTTTTGATTTTTATGTGTGTTTGTGGTGCTATTACTGTTTTCATTTAGTTCCTTGGTCATTTAGTGCATTTTATTTTAATTTTGTTGTATGTGTTGGTTTAAGACAATTAGTGGCTTCTCATTATACTCGTACGTGTTTAATTCGTGCATTATGTTGTAAATCGTGGAATTCGAAATCGGTCAACTTTAAAATTGGGATGATAGCTCATTTAGAACCTATGGTATAAGCACAAACTATTTTGTCGCCTAATTGGCGGCATTTTGCGATTTTTAGCCAACTTTGCCGAGAGCTGGATGTTTCTGGAAAACCTATTTTCATAATCGTACCAGCAAGATTTTCCAAGTTTTCAAGAAGTACTTGTCAACTCTATAAATATGGCTGCATTTAGCTGAGAATTATGTACCCGAAGAAACTGTCGCTGCATATACACACTGTTTATTCCAAAAATGAACAATCTAAAACTCCCCCTCCCTCCCAAAAAACTGAAGATTAACTTAAGTGTGGGTAAAAGATAATAATCTCTTCTGAAAATTCATATAAATTGGCGAAACATATAAGAAGATTAAAACAGTGAGGAAGAGCTTTTGCTTGCACGACGTTTTAAAGACACGATTGCTAAAGCAAAATTTTAAAATTCTACCTTTTTGCTGGATGAATACTTCTTCGGACTTTCCTTTCCATCTACTCAGACCTGATCTTCCAGTAGGAAATTACTTGACGAACGTTTTTACGTGATGTGCTATCAGCAGTACTTTAACCCTTTGCAACACAGTGTGTCCGGTCTGGACAACCCTAAAAAAAATTTCCTTCTGTACGCACAGAAAAATTAAATGAAAAGGATTTATAGGTTACTATCGGTTACTCTGAACCTTCTTTATTTATAGTAGATGGCAGCTCAACACAAACCAGTCCATATATTTTAGCCATGTTTAGTTCTTTTAAGACCCTCATTTTTCAAAGAATCTTCCAGATTTTTTTAGGGTATAAAAGGAATTGTTTGAAAAGAAATTTCTATATTATTTTTTGGCTGTATGCTAATCTCCTTATTTTATATTAGTTTAAAATTTTTACCTTGAAATTTTGCCTAAAATCAAACGGCGAACCCTGGGTGTGTCTAGACCGGGGTCGCCGATAATCTAGGACAACTGAGAGTCTGTATTCTTTGTTTCTCCGCATCTCATTGGTCAGTTCATTGACAACAATGCTCGTTTCAGCACTCTTTTCCAAGCTCTATTCAATCAGTGTGCCTTTTTGGGCACAACCCACAGAATTAAAACTATAAGTGCTATCTTCACAAAATTTTAGTTGTGTACTCCTCTAGGCCTAATTAGTCTGCCTACTTTTTTTTTTTTTTTTTTTTTTTTTTTTTTTTTATCAAAACTCCGACTTTAAAAGGGAGCGTCCTGGAAAGGTTTTTAAGAGCCGGACACGTCGTGCTTCACTCAGTATTCACGGTAATATTTGAATAGATAGGTTTATTCTATTTGTTGATTACTGCTTTAGATTTTGTTCTGAGAGTAATTCTGGCGATGCATGATATTCCTCTCGAATGCTACGGAGAAAAAGTTCCTTATCTCTGTTGTTTTCTCCTGATAGAGTGTGCAGCTGTTACTTGTTGTACGAACTGTGACTTATTTCCATAAAATACTAGTTTTTGCCTGTTCTTCGGATGTAATTTTAAAAAGATATTTACGAACCCTTACCATGCAGTAACATTAATTTATTCTTTTATTTCAAATTTTAAGACATAGTTTTAATCCACAATACTTTATCATTTTTGTGGCTTTTATAATAAAAATGCTTCTTTACTGAGAGCTTAATTATTCGATGTGTTTCCGGAGATGTAAAAGCCGGCGTTCTATTGAACACCTATGTATTTTACCGACCAACAATGTATTTTATCGACAATTTATGAAAGCCGGCGTTCTATTGAATACCTAGGTACCGAAAAACGGCCGTCAGTGTATGAAAAGATTAATATTTCCTAAGCTTTCTAAAGAATGCTGAATAACAAACCGTCAGAGTATGAAATACATCTCCAATTTGTTTTAAATATTTATAAATTTAATACGCTCATACATTATCCATGCATTTAATAAATTCATACATAATCTGTACATTTAATACATTCATACATAATCCATTAATTTAGTACATTCCTTCCGTAATTCAATATATTTCATACATTTTTATAAAATGTTTTCTTTAACTGGAAAAGCATAAATTTTATTTGGTGCAAATTTCATTTTTATTTCCGTATATTGAATAAAAATTTTTAATGGCACTCTTTCATTATTTTTCAAAATAGTATTCATATTTTTGAGGAATCTACGTCTATTAAATAATAATTTTATCATACCCTTTTTTTCACTCTGTATACGAAGTTTGTAGATACGTAAATAATTTTAATGAAATTATACATGAAACTGAAGTATCTTTTGTATAATGTAACTTAAAATGCTTGACAAAGCGAAGCTCACACAGAGATCTCTCACTACGGGGAATTCAGCATTGAACTCAAAACTGAGAGCTTCTATTTCACGAAATTATTGAAAGTCATATACATTAGGTAGAGACATGAGGATTTTTTTGGAAGCAGACAAAATGAAAAATTAGCAATTGCTTTCGCAGGGAATCGAACCACGGACCTCTGAATTACCGGCTCAGAGTGCTGACCACTACACCACAAAGGCAAGCTAGGAAGGCTGGAGAAATACCTTATATACTCCCCCTTTTTAAAGGGCAACTGGGGTTTTGAGGGGACCCAATGCCAAATCCTGGGTGAGGACAATCACCATCCAACACCCTTTTAGCTCGGGCGCCACTGTAGAGACATTAGGTATTTTTGGAGCAAGAAAAGTGAAAAATTAGCAACTGCCTTCGCCGGGAATCGAACCACGGACCTCACGGACCTCTGAATTACCGTCTCAGTGTGCTGACCACTACACTACGAAGGCACGCTAGGAAGGCGGGAGAAATACCCTATAAAAGTTTCATATAAGGGCCGGATACGGTTACAGTTATATATAGTGATTAATTACAGTTATTCAGTTTCAGTGGAAGTTATAACAATACAATGCCTTGCCTTTACAGTAACACAATATTTTGCCTTAATATAATTTATTCCATAGAATGCCTACGTGCAATATACAGTGCCTAGGGAAAGTATATAATAATTCTCATTGTTCAAGCTTTGCATAAAAATAACAAACATTCTATAAAAGGCCTAGATCTTTTATAGAACGCCGGTAACATAACACTGACTAGATAGTAAAGCAGTTTTAGAAATGCTTACTTTTTTTGTATTAACAATGCCATTACCATAGGTAACCTAAAATATTTAATCTAATATCCTTTTCTCAGGTATGGTACAAAGCATGCGAGCAATCATTTTTCTCACTGGCAATCGGGTATGGCAATATCGTCATGATAGCCAGCTACAACAAATTCAAAAATAATGTTTACAGGTAAGTAAAATATTGCATTTATATAAATTGGATTGAAACAGTGATAACCTAGATTGCGTCAATGTCTGTACAATAACTCTATACGTCTCAAAGTCTTACATAATGTTTGTACAGGTTTTATTTATCGAATAGTTTAAAACATTTTCTTCTTAACTTTTTCTGATGAGTACAGGCACGCGATCATCATCAGTGTCTTGGACACTTTCACCAACGTACTGGCAGGATGTGTCATTTTTGCTGTCCTGGGTAATTTGGCCTATGAAAGGGATTTGGATATCTCAGAAGTTGTAAATCATGAAGGTGAGCAATCTGGTATTCATTTAAAATCCAATTTTGTTTTATTTTCATTCGTGTTACCTGCGTAGGATTCTGCTATATCTCTAATCTTGCCACAATGTTGTTATCGCTGTTATCTGAAGCCCCTGACAAAAATGTAAGAAGGTTAAAATAATCCTTGTATTTAATTCTAAAATGAATAGAAGGTCTACAGATGAACTTCCCCTACTTGAGGGTATTTAAATTAGAAGAAAATATTGTTGCGTTTTTTTTTTTTTTCCTGACACCAGTTGTTACGTTATTTTCTTCCTTCACGTTCGTAAGGGGTCCGTAGATTTGGAGTGAATAACGACGACACTTGATGAAGTATCGAAACACACTTTATTTACCGATATTAATCAGGACAGCTTTAAAACACTTTTACAGTCGTCAAAGATCTACTATAAACACGCTGGAACAATCAGCGACACAGCCTTAACACTGTCAGGCAATAACGGTGGACACAGCTTCACTGCAAAGCATCAGGGTACAGCTCCCGACTCTGTTCGATCGTTCTCGGAACTCCACGTACTCTCGAGACTCCCTACGCTACAACTCGCGATGCACTCGACGACACACAGAGCACAACTCCCGAATCTTCGTCTCAGTCGTTCCTGGAGCTTAACACACTTTCTCGACGATGCACTAACCGCGATACGCGAAGAGACTCTTTGATGCACTCGACGACCAACTCCTCGCTAGACTTCGAGACAGTCGCTCAATGACTGACTATCAGCTCGCTAGACGAGGTACACTAACTGAATGCCAACCAACAGGGTTTATATAGCTTTCGGCTTGTGTTCGAGAACATTCTGGGCTAAACCGGTAAGAATTCGTTCCAGAAGGTTCTCCATTCGTCCATGGCATATCGCCAATTTTTTCGCCAAATGGGTCAACCCTGCCTTCCCTTGCCATTTTATGGCAACCCTAAAACTGCTTTGCGGGGAAGCCATCTTGCCGCGCCTGTACAATTCGTAACAATATATTCCTATGTAGGTAACATAATCTGAGACTATGCAGGCTATAGATTACTTAATCTGGCTCAAGATGATTAACGACACGTAATTTAAACATCGGCTAGCAAGTTGCTAAAGCCGGAATAACTTTGGCAGAGCTGATGACGGCTTCCAGAAGCTGTGAGTCTAAAACATTCAAATCCTCGACCTAATTACACGGCAACTAATTTATATTCTGGTGAAATGCCCAACCGGAATAGTGGTTAAAGATGCTGAGTGCCATATCGATGGCCCATGCTCGAGTCCCGGAGAATGCATGCATGTTTGTAAATGTATTGTGTCTGTGCAGCTCTTTGCAAAGACAAGCGCATTTGACTCCTTGCCACAATGAATGTCGTGGGATTGTGCTGACCTTTGTCAGGCAAGTGAAATATTGGTAACGAGAACAACAACACATTCTGGTGAGGTCTATGGAAAGAAGAACTTAAAGCAAAGATTCAGAAGAATTCAAATGATAATACCTGGTGAATTAACCTAAAATCCTACAACTAAAATATTGAAAGGTTATAAGGTAATTCTCCCGCCTTCCTAACTTGCCTTCTTGGTGTAGTGGTTCTGCACGCTGGGCCGGAATTCCAGAGGTCCGTGGTTCGAGCCCCGGCGAAGGCGTTTCCTCATTTTTCATTTCTCCTGCTTCCAAAAAAGTCCTAATTTCTCTACTGTTGGGCCCGAACTAAAAGGGTGTTAGATGATGATTCTCCTCACCCAGGATTTGGTGATTGGGCCCCCTAAAAACCCCACTCGCCCTTTGAAAGGGGGAGTATGTAAGGTATTTCTTCCGCCTTCCTAACGTACCTTCGTGGTGTAGTGGTTCTGCATGCTAGGCCGGTATTCCAGAGGTCCGTGGTTCGATTCCCGGCGAAGGCGTTTGCTCATTTTTCATCTCTCCGGCCTCAAAATAACCTAATGTCTCTACAAGGTTTTTATAACTAAACTCCGTAGCCTTATTCCAACTGTAACAAAAATTTGCAACGTTTTTCAGTTTGAAATTCGCAGTGACTTCATTATAGTGCGATTTAACATAATAGCACAATGTTTTAGGCCAAGTTCGGAGCAAAAATGTTTTTTAATAGTTCGAGCTTCCTCGTTAACCGCTGGTAAAATGGACAAACGCATGGGTCATTTAACGGTTGTATCACCGGGAATGTTGCCAAGGCACAAAGTAAAACGTACTTACACATTAACGCAACCTCTTTGGGGCAATTTGGCGTTCTTTTACAGATAAAAAGGTAAAAATGACTTCTCGAGTACAAGGTTATCTTCGAGAATTTCATTCGCGAATTTTCAAAACATTCTCTAACTATCGATAATTATAATCTTAAAATATAAATTTAAATTATTAAATAAGGATTATTTAATACATTAAAAATAAAACACATTTTTTTGCGAAATCTTTCTCTAATTTTTAACTAAGCGCTGTTCTTCTCCTTACCTGCACCGCGATCTGTTTCCGTTTTAGAAAACCAGATAATTGCAAAACCTGTCATTCCGCATCGTCTCTTTGCCAAATCTTTGTTCATTAGTGTTCTCTTTAGTGATTTTACGTGTTCATTAGTGTTCTCTTTAGTGATTTACACTTCAATTTCTTACATTGCTGGCAAATTCGACAAGAGGTATTTTAAAACTGAGTTAAAGGCAAAAAAATATCACTGTTTATCTATAAAGACGTTGGAACTTGGAATACTTCAAAAAAATGTATACGAAAATTGCAACGTTACTTAACCACACAACTATTATGAGCATGGTTGCCTGTAAAATGTTTATGAGCATGGGAGATCAAATATATCCCTTAACAAACTTTTCTCCTTTCTTTAAAATATGTTACAAAATATTGGCTGTGAATCAGTTGAAAAGCGTTTGGTGTGCAATATTTATAAAGCTATGTTTGTTTTCTAAAGATTAAAGAAAAGGCTTTCCTAAAAGCAAATCACTATCAATTTCCCATGAGATAAGAAACTCAAATATTTTAACAAAAGGATTGAAGTTTAATGAAGTTCAACTGCAGCAGACGCAGCTTAATGTGATCACGTTTGTCCACGGCTATTTTGATAAAATTAAACAATCAGAAAAATGTCCTCCGAAGCAGGATTGAAAAAATAAAACTAGAAACAAACATCGTATTTGCTCTCGTACTTTTCCCTTTCGCGTATATTTCCCCTCTAACTTCTGAGCATTATGTTTTGAAAATTTTAATAATGTTCGCATGATTTCTCTCTGCCCTTGCTGTATATACTTTTTCTCTTTACGGGTTAATTTTTATTGGAAAATTGCATTTCCTTGCTTAGTCTTATATTATATGTGTAATACGTAGTCTTATATTATATGTGTAATGTGTATACGAACCAGTTTTCCTTAGAAAGTCATCCACAAAGGCATCCTTTCCGTTAGGCAGATAGCCAAGCGGGCTTTGTCGTAATCAACTAAAGCAAATCAAACCTGATCTTTATGCTCGGAGAGCATCTGTCAGTGGAAGAGAATGTAAAACTGTAAATTACATAGAAAACCAACCTTAGTTTGGAAAAGATGTTTCCAGAACATTTTTGTTTGAGAAACGGTCTGTGCCTGGTCACCCTCAAAATCGATACCATTGCTCAAAATCTCCAACAAAGTAATGTTTATTTTTTTTATCTAATTTTCATATCCAACAGTAGCCGAGCTGTAAAGTCACTGTCTCAGCTGTTCAAGCTGGGTTCGACTCCAGGCAAGCATGCTCAACGCAAAGCGTATTTGTGGTTTTCCTCATGTGTAACATGGATGTGAGTCAGTTTTCTTCAGAAAGTTCTCCGAGAATGCATCATGAGCCCTTGCATGCTTTGCCATATCAAAATAAACCAAATCAAACCTTACCTAATTTTAAATAGCTCACTAAAATCTAAATTAATCTGTTTGGGAACTTAATCCCTTAATTGGAAACAATTCTGTATCACTTAACAACAATATTTTATATTCTATTTTCGCATCATTTGGCTTCTTTAATTCAGTTTAAAGACATTTACTCTATAAAATTTTGATCATATTAATTGAATTGCTGAACACAGTAAGCGATGTATTTTCCATACAAAAGGTTCGTCTATTGGATAACAATACCCGAAAGATAACATTAATTGATATCTCATTAAGCGACGACTACTGAAATGAGATTAATTTTATTGCTGAGATGTAAATAATGAACGCGCTTTGAGAATAAGAAAAATTAATTTCACGCAGTTAAATTCAATTATTTTAATTTATTTGGGCATCAGACAAAATAAATTTAAAACCTGACAGAAAATTAATAAAAACGCTTATGAGGTTTAGAATCTTATACAATATAAGATAAAAATAAAAAAATAAGAAAAGAAATTTTAATTGAAGCAAAGCTATTTGAAATATTAGAAATAAGAATAATAACCTTTTTTTTTTTTTTTTTTTCTCAGTCTAAGAATATTTTTCTTTACAGATCTTGGCTTAGCGTTTATAATTTATCCCGAAGCACTGGCTAATATTAAATTCATTCCACAACTTTGGTCTGTGTTGTTTTTCGTAATGCTGTTCACATTAGGGATTGGTAGCTCGGTAAGTATAATTACGAGCAGTGACAATCAAATGATGACGTGTTTTATAATTATGCCACAAAATAAACTGATACTATTAAAATCTGCGTGAGTCTGTCCGTCTGTTTGTTTGTAGCATCACCGTCTCCGGAATGGCGAGAAATTGAGTTTTGAAAGATGTACTGCCGGATGCATAATTCAGAAATACACATCAGTATCGCCACTGGGGGGGAGAGGGGTTTTAAAAATTGATTAGTGAATTCTGTTGCTTTCGTGTCGGTGAATCTTTGAAACTGCGCATATTCTTGTTTATGTTTTTATTTTGCGTTTGTGTCGCAGTTATAAATGTATGGCGTAGAAATACTGCTATCATTTTTATTAGAAAATGTTTCAGTGCTTTCATTTCATAAGTTTATTTAATCGTCAACATTTCACTTTTGCGAAACTTATTACGCAGTGATATTCGAATTAATGTTCGTGGTCTATTATCGTTCTTTATATGAAGAAAATAACTCTAATTATAATTAGTTTCGAATATTATGCATAACACCTGTGGATTGAAAGAATTCCAATGTATGATTTTTTCCACTGAGCTGAGAAGTTTTACATAAATATAGTATTTGCTTATCTCAATGCTTGCATTCTTTGATTTTGAAAACATGAGATTCAAAATATATATTGTGAATGATCCGACTATACTTATTGTTAAATTAAAAGTTACAGTATATGAATAAATTGTTGTGAATAAGATGAATTCATTCTGTTTGAAGGCCCACCAGCGGCCGAGCGGTAAAGTCGCTGAACCCTGGTAGTTCGGTCCGAGGTTCGAATCCCGCGAACGTGCCGGCTGCATGGGCGTTCTCGTGGTTTTCCCCACGTGTAACGTGTATACGAGCCAGTTTCCCTTAGAAAGCCCTCCACGAAGGCATCCATCTCCTTAGGCACATAGCCCTAGTGTGCTTTGCCATAATTAAATAAACCAAACCATTCTGTTTGATCAGTATTCTTGTGCAGGTAAAACATTTAAGAGCGCACGCTCTAAATTTGTAGGAATGCAAATTAGAAAAGTTCACTTTGAATAAAATTGGGCATTATAGAACATCTTTTTCATATAAAATGCAGTAAAAAATGGGTGAGACTTCTACTATTTACATATATAATTATGCTTATATTTAATCTAACTTCGTACTGAAAATTTTTCCTACAAATCCAGGATGTTTTAATTATTTTGTACGAAAACGTGCATGGCAAAGCAATTTCTGTTATCTTGCTTAAAGATCTTGCTAGGCAAAGGTCATGGGAAATGACACATATCTCATTGGAAGCCCACTGGACCATTCTAGAAGGCACTCCCTCGCTGGCGATACAGATGTGCACTTACGAAATATGCCTCCCGAATTCCATAACTTCTTCGCAAGCCATTTCGAACATTCTCATCCTCATTCAACTTTAATCAGCCGAGATATTAATTAAAAACTCTGAAATCGCTAATATTCGGACCCTGCAAATTGTTTTTTCCCTGAACTTTATTGCTTTGTCGACGCGCGTACGAGATGAAATTTTAAAATTGCCATTCGTCTTTTCTAAACAACGGTAGAATAAAACTTTTATGGAATAGAACTTATAAATTTTAATTATGGCCCCAGCCCATTAATATTAAAGAAAAATGTACCAATTCGAGCCAATTATTTTGTGACAAGGAATTTTTTTATCACATTTATTTTACAATAAGAAGGGCTTAAATGGACTAAAAATAATACAGTAGAAAAAGACTTGAACTTCTGTGTTCAATATTGAGTAGACGTTCTCTGCAAATAAACCTCAAAAGTACAAATGTCCGAAAACAAGTGTGGGCCGGTGTATTGTACAGTGAAATGTTACTACTTATTGCGTAGAGAGCGATGGACGTCGATTTATCGAAATAGAAGAAAGAAAATGGAATAGAAAAGTTAGAACAATAACTTATAACTACTTAACCTAGTTTCCGAAATTTTAAAACTTGAATTTTTCAGATATTTCTCTGGTTCCAACACTTTTAAAGATTTTTTTGTTTGCCCTTAATAATAGAATGAATCAATATTTATTGCGACGAAAATTGATTACAAAAGAGATTGCTCTTCAAAGGCCTCAATTTATTTTGTGTTTCAGAAATCTTCAGTTCCAAATCGTTTTTGTCTTTTTTCTCCTCGGCCTTCAAAAGTTGAGTATTAAGAAAAAAAAAAGAAAAACAAAACCTCAGTTAGATCGTTTTTTCGATAACATGCAGTTTTCCTTAATATCTTATTTAAGAATACCTCTCATTTTTCAATAAATCTGGATCTTATATGCATAAATATTACAGCTATATAGCTTTTTATAATTCATTTAAATTAGAAATAAATTTAATTCACTTCAGATTTTTTTTACGAGAACGTTCACTTATTTTTCGGAGGACTTAAGATTCTGTCATGCAATCATTATTTTATTTTACATTGGGTTGACAAGAAAGTAATTTCAGTTAAATATCTTTCATTCTGTTCCATGATCTTTTGCCATTTTGCTGGTAACTTCGGGCACTCACAGAATTTCTGGTCTTTATGGACAAAAACTCAATCAAGTGCCATTTGAGGTCATAGTTATTACTGAACTTTTTACATTTAAGAAGTTTTGTAAGCTTGGAAATAATAATAATCCGATGGTGCAGGACCGGGGCTATATGTTGAATGCGACATAACTCCCAACAACAAACTCCAATAAATTTCGCACTCATTGCTAAAATGTGGTCGCATTGCGGTGGTGGAACACGAAACCTTTGCGATTTCCCGATTCTGGCATTTTCTCATTGAATGCTTCCTCCTGTTCCATAAGTTGTTGACAGTGAACATCTGAGTTGGTCGTTTGCTTGCTTGGAAGCAGCTCAAAATACACAACATCTTTGTAAACTCACCAAATTGACGACATGATCTATTGATTTGCTGAGTGAACTAAATTTCTTTCACTTCATGCGGAAGCCAAATATTGACCATTTTAACGAACCAAGACACCTTGTATGGTTTTGAGTTATTGTGTGTGATATACACTAGTGTTCAAAACTTAAGCAACAATGCAAAATTTAATCAGATAACCATGCAATTGCAGAAAAGGGGTTCTTTCAGTAAAAAGATCATGCATATGCAAATGTCCGGAAAAAAATATCACAGGCTACGTGCGTGCGCTCCACTCGAGACTACCATAAAAGGAAGGACAAAGACGCAATTAAAGACATTCGCTGCAAGTAAAATCTTTCGTGAAATATGGCTAGAAGAAATCATCTGGTTGACGAATTTAATGAGTGGAAGAATGATCGGAAAGCTGGAGGAGGGGCGTAGTGTGACCAATGTGGCTGAAGATTTCGAAGTCAACAAAAGTGTCGTTTCGCGGGCTTGGAAAGCCTTCCAAACCATAGGTACAGCTATTAGAAAGGTTGGTGGTGGCCGCTCTAGGACAACAACTGCAGCAGATAACCGATATATCGTCCTACAGGCGAAAAGAGCCCAAAACCAGTCAGTAAGCTCCACAACTCAGCAAGTGTGTACAGCAACCAGAGACAATTGTTCGTGGTTTACTGTGTCCAGACACCTTCACAAAGATAGGCCTATCCGCTCGCCGTCCTGAACGATGCATCCCTTTGAAAGTTGGCGATCGGCACCACCGTTTAGAGTGGTGAGCAAGGAGCGCAAAAACTAGGCATCTCATCAATGGAAGTCGTCTCCTCCTTACGGATGAGAGTCGTTTTAGTGCCCCAAGCGATTCTCAACGCCTACTTATTTGGAGAGAGGTAAGGACACGGTTTAATCTCAGTAACATCACGGAAAGTGACCATTGTGTTCTGGAGATCTCGTCTGGGGAGGTTATTATGCTGAACGGGCGGACAGAGCTCCACGTTTTCGACAGAAGTTCTGTAACCGGAGATCTCTATTGTCAGGAAATGATCCTTCCCTATGTGCGTCTGTTCCGAGGTGCAATTGAACCAGACTTCGTTTTTATGGATGACAATGCACGGCCACACCGGACTCCTGCTGTTCAGAAGCTATTGAAAAGTGAAGATATCACTCGAATGGATTGGCCAGCGTACTCCCTTGATTTAAATCCCATAGAACATGTATGGGATGCTTTGGGCCTTGAGGCACGATTACATCCTCCAGCGAACACCCAACAACTGAAACATATGCTGATTGACGAATGGGCACTCTCACCTCAAGATCTCTTGGACAATCTGGTGCTGAGTGTGGGAAGACGGTAAGAAGCAACCATTGCAGTAAGGGGAGGACATATCCTATATTGTGCATACTATTACTTTCTTGCCATCAATAGAATCAGATGTAATGGCCATAAATTCTACTTCTTTAGTTAATCACATTTAAATCTTCGTTGAATATTCTTTTGACGACGTAGATACATAAAAATATTCTCACTGAAACCATTCATTTATATGAGTTTTAAGAAGCATTATTAGACGTAGAATTTTTTTAAGGTTTTATCTGACTACCTATCAATTAAGCATTGTGCTAATTAAGAGTTGTTATGAATATGAATACGCTTATCTAAGAATGAGACACTTCAATAAAGTAAATTCTTTAATCGTAATTTATTTACTTGCTTTATTTGACATATTAATTAAATGTGTTGCATGGTCCCCCACGGACTATTTAATTGACGTAGGTCATAGGACTATTATCTGACTATTTAATTGACAAATTGAGAGTTACAGTGAGCGCGCTTAACCCTGATCGCGTTTATCCACCGCTACTTTGATTACATTAACAGAATAATAACATTGAGCGATGACGAAAAATATTCTTCGAAATAATCCTAATTTAATGGCAACGAATTTAATTTTATTTTTCATATCGAAACGGGCAAACCGATAACAATATCCGAATGATAACATTGATCGTGAATACATTAAGCGGCGCTTGCTGCAAATATAACTGAATGAAGTCTTTAGAATAATTATCGATTTTGGACATATGTCATTTAGTGTATAATATGACAGCATGTGTCATATTATACACTAAAATGTTTAAATGGATTTGAATTTTATTTTACTGAAAATTAATTTTTCCTTAAAAGCCTCCAAATATATATGCATTTTTAATGTTGCTTTATTAAAAACGAATATTAACTCCACAAATTTCTTAGTTTAGCGCTGCAATTTCACTGTAATGAAGATTTTTAATTTGATTTCCAATTTAATCACTTAATTAGTACTATATAAGGGACCGGTTCTTGAACGATTAAAAAACGTTAATGAACGATATATTATTTAAACACTTATATGAATCGTCACGTTCAGTTATATAAATATTTTCCACTTTTCAAAGTATCAATACATGATTTAAAAAATCCAACTTTTCTAGCAACTGTTTAATTTTTAAATGAAAAGCTAGATTATTTTATGTGTTTTAGAAACGGATTAAAAATATTAATTTTGACTTCATGTTTACATTTTTAATTGCTGTTTGTTCTAAAGTTCCCCTAATTCATTAAAACCACAAAGCAGATACAGTGGAACCTCGAGATACGAGCACTTCTATATACGAGAAATTCGAGATACCAGAGTATGAGCGATAAATTTGTCTCTAAATACGAGTATTGACTCGAGTGGGAGTGATAGCCACTGGCCAGGTTACCGACCTAAGGTTTAACCAAGCGGATTTTGTGCCTGGTCAGTGGGATGGAAGACTGTCAGAGCATTTGTTTTTTCGTTTTCTGAGCTTACAGAGTCACAATTTCTAGTGATGCAGGTCATCTGAGTTACATAGGATGTTGGTTACATAAGATATTTAAATTAGCTAAATTACGATGATATCTTGTTTCGTGATGTTACATTGGACATAATTGCAGTTTTTCTTGAAAGTGAAATTGTAGTTATTCTTACTATGAAAGGCGAAATGTACTTTATGTTACATTTCGCGTTTCATAGTAGTATCTTAGGTTTCATTTACATTACACTCTATATTTTTCTTTCGACACATGTGTTATGTTAAGATGTAGTACATTACACCCTACATTATATTGTATATATGGAATTACTGGGGATTATTATATTAGAGTACATACATTATGTCAGAATGCAAAACATTAAATCATACATTATATTATTCAATACACTATGTTTGGAATTACGTTGAATACATTGCATAATATATAATACATTTTACGTTACTACGCTCGCTTTTCACATACGTGTCTTTGACGTATGACACTTTCACATACGTGTCTTTGACAAAGAGCGCCTTACTGGAATACATAGCACATTACTGCCACTTAGTATACTGTACACTACATACATGTTACTAGTTACTTAGTACTTTATATAATACTGGGATACATTACTGGATTACAGTTACATTAGTAGATTACAGTTACGTTACTGGATTACTTTATATAATACTGGAATACATTACGGGATTACATTATTGGGTTACATAGTATACATTACATAGTAAGAAATGCGTTATACTTTATTGTTTTCGCTTTTCATAGTTCTGTCGTGATTTCCCTTTCAATACATGTGCTTTTTAGATACAGTGCACTATAACGAGCAATGAGCTAGGCTGTTGGTATGCGTGGCGCCATTTCTCAAGCCGGCTCTACTCGGGGGATCCGCTTGTCAGATCCCTCGGTGTGTCTTTGATCCACGTGTCTGTGCGTTTCTGAGTCAATTGTATTCATTTAATGTGAAAGTAATTATTTCACGATGCCTCCCAAGAAGATTCTTGCCTCAGATAGTGCTTCAAAGAAAATGAAGGAGCAATGGCCGTTAAAATTAAGAAAGAAATCACAGATAAACATAAGGGTGACGGAATTGGCGAAAACTTAAGGCCTTCAAGATTTCGACATCGACAATCTTCACTATTCTGAAGAAGAAGGAAGAAATTAAGAAACTTTATGTAGGCAAAGAAGTTACCGTCACTTCCAGGCACCGTCCAAAACGTTTAGAAGCTCTTGAGAAGCTGTTGTTGGTGTGGATTAACGAGAAGTTAGGGTCGTGTCGGAAGCTATCATTTGTCAGATGGTATCATAAAGATAAACTCTGGTTATATTATTTTGGTTTATTTATTTATTATTTATTGGAAAAATTGATTTTTATGCTGATATTTTTGGAGGTGCGGAACGGATTAACTGGATTTCCATTATTTTCAATGGGGAAGTTTGTTTCCAGATACTAGAAATTCGCTATATGAGCTCAATGCTTAAACGGATTAAACTCTTTATCTTGAGGTTCCCTTGTATGTTAAATTGTATGATACAAAACCGTTCTTATGTATTATCCCGCTCACAGTGAAAGTTGGCTGTCATCTAACCGTGAAAGTTGAACAAAATTCACCTAAAGTTGCACCAGTCGTTCTTCGGTTCTTCCGCACATCTGTTTGTATTTTTTAGAATGAAATATTCGTCAGTCAGTCTGTATATTCAATCAAATAGCCATTGCTACGAAACGTAATCGACACGCTTTGGTTTTGCGCCTTTTGAAAAGAATTTTCGCGATTTCTACTATTTTATTAGATCCTTCGATTTTACCGGAAGCTCTATGAAAACGAACGTCACGTAGATGATTATTGCTGCTTTTTTGGCCATATCCAACTGTTCTTTTTTCACATTTAAAAGGTTTTAATTCTCTCGACCAATTATACATGTATCAGAGTGCAGTCATAAATGTGATTCTGCAGCTCTTCAATCACAGTGTTTCAAAATACAACGAAAATTTGCAGCAGTATCTGTTAATTTAGTTATGTCCCATTTCGGCTTTCCAGATGAAACTTTTTTGAAAATAGTGCCATTTCATTCTCTTTTGATGGGGTGGGTAAAAACGCATTTCAGCCTTCTTATTCAGGGTCACCTCAAACTCAATCAAGGTTACATCAAACGAAAGCAGGGATGTTATGAGCAAGTTGTGACTTCACGTTTATTTATGACTGGCGTTAAATGGCGTTGCTTGGCGACTGTTTCTCCACAGAAGGGATAATACCTAAATAACAACAAATCAAATGTGCTAATAGAGCAAGCGACGTTGTTATATCTTAATTATTTCGTGCTCAGAAAATCTTTACCTGTAAAATACAATTATGCATTTAGATAAGAAATAATTAATTGTCTTTGAAAACGTTTTTCTGTTTGGGTCTTTGGTATATTTTCCACGCTTTGTGTTTCTTCTTAACTGGGAAATTTAGTGTTGTTTTCATTGATTACATTTTGCTTCTCATTTTATTTTCTATAATTTCGTTGCATTTTACTTTGCATAAAGTTTATAACGGAAATTCTCTCTCTTTCATTCCATAAACGAACATATCCATAACGAATTAGGAATGAAACATAACAAATGACGAAATAGGTTTTGAAATTTCTGTAACAATAACTGTAATAATAACAATGTAAACAGATGTCTAAGCTCACAGAAAAACTTAAAAGAAGTCTTGAAATTTGATTACTGATTTCAAATTTAAGTTTTAAATCAATTATCAACCGTATGTTTTGAAAGAATTTTCACTTTTTAATTTCAGTGGTTCAAAATTTTATGAAGTTGCTAAAAATGTTTCAATTCAAGTATCTCATGCTTTGTTTCTATCTTTTATTCATTGCATAATATATTTTTTGAAGATATTAAAAAATCTTTGCAGTCTCGTTTCTCATTTTCATTAAGGGATAGTTTAAATTTAATACTTTTTAACAGTTTAAATTCTTGCTCAGTTTTTGTTCTTAATAAAATAATTTTCTTTCACCTTTAGATGTCCCAGCTTGAGACTGTTTTAACTGTAATTAAAGATAAATTTCCAGCTGTACGTGATTTTAAATGGATGCTGTCCCTTGGAACTTGCACACTTTTCTTCCTTCTAGGCTTACCACTAACGACAAATGTAAGTACCACTACAAAGTACATTTTCCTGATAACTCTGTGTCTTAATATTCTTATTAATGATCTCAGGTTAATATCATCATATTCGCAATTTTGTTATTACTAAAATAATTCTGAAATTTATTGTAGGCCTCATAGACTATATTTATAGTAGAAAATTGTTTCTAGGTTTGAATGGTATACACGTGCGGGCAAAAATAACAAAATTTGCCCACATGTCGAATTTTTGAAAATCTAATGGACAGGTTTTTAATAAAATTAGGTATGAATATACATTTGTAACAGAAAACGAGATGTGCGATTCAAAAATCATTTTAGGGACGTCTGATTACCAGTAAAGTTCTTGGAAGAGTGATGTCCAAACTCAACACTGTGATATCGAAATGAAAATGAGTCTAATATGGGGTACGATCGCCTCTGTCTCTCACTGCTAGACAGGTCACGCAGCGTGATGGCATACTAGACAGGAGACAGTTGAGGAATCCCTTTGACAGTCGATCCCATTCCTGCATCAAGACAGTTTTCAACTCCGGGATGAGACTGGATTTTCAATTCCGCCACAATCTTCCAAATTTCTAACTTTGGAAGATGATGGCAAGATGAAACTGCCATCCGAAGAGTGTCCTGGACATGGTATATAGAGTTAATGTCAAGCGATCTAGCTGGTCAATACATGCGGTGAATATCCTCACTTTCCAAGTAATCGTAGACCAGCTAGCTCTATGCAGGACAAGAGCTGTTGTCCGTTAACTGGAATACAGGAATAAGTGCGCTCCTGAAAGGTCTCTAAGATTTCCTCTGTGCGCTTCATCGCAATCAGGAAGATTTTGTAAAATACATGCAGAGGTGTGCGACCATCAAGCATAACGCCTGCCCAGACCAGTACACCTCCACAAGCGTAACGATCCTTTTCCATGATGAGGGAGAAATGACTTCCAGAGACTCTCTCCAGATAGAGGCAAGACGAGCATCAGCGTCCAGGATGATTCTTGCCTCATCTGTAACATCCACAGTGCTCGATTGCAGTCTTTGTCCAAGGCGTATGTTGTTTTCACAATGCTAAACGTCATTTCCTGTGTGCTACATTGAGCGAGATGCAAACATGGTAGCACACAGCTCACGAGGGAGCTGTAAGCGTCTGGCAATCCTATGTCGCGGAGCTGAAAGTGTACCAAATAACGATCCTCATTCGTTGTTGTAGATCTTGGTCGACTTGTCCAAGTTTTCTCGTTGTGGATTTATTGTTCTGGAAGTGTCTCCATAAACTGCAGACGAAACTGGGCGTTAGCTCTGTAGCCACATGCGTTTACAATTGCTGTACCTCCAATCTGCCGACAATTCTTCATCTCATTGCTTCATCCATTCGTTCGTAGCATACTCATTTTACCTGATACCTTATGAAATTTATCCAACTCTTGGGAAAAATACGGCGAATGTCGTGAAGGGAGAGAGAGAGAGTGAGAGATTATGGCGCAAAACCAAAGATGATTATAGTGCGCCAAACACGAGATGGGGTGAGTACAATTGATGAAATTAAAATACAATAAATAAAATCAAGTAGACAAATGTATCAAATCCAGAGGATGAAGTCATATAAGAACAAGTTAAAACCACACATTTAAAATTCAAGATACAATCTTTAAAACAAATTACATTAGGTGATAAAAGCCAGTCTCTTTTAAATGATAAAATAAATTACAATTGACCTCTCTTCCGATTAAACGGTCGAGAGGTAAGTCACAGCTATTAAAATATTACTGGCGAAGACTATTAAAACATGGACACTCAATTAAAATATGACGAACAGATAAACAAACATTACAATTAAAACACACAGGCTCATTTTCAGCTTTGAGAAGATAGTTATGTGTTCACTCTAGTGTGGCCAATTCTGAGGCGAGTTAAAAGAACTTCCTCCTTACGATTTCCAGCAAAATCCCAATGCTCAATTCTAGACTTGATATTTATTAATTTGTTGTGATGCTGAATATCCCAAATTTGCTGCCATTTTTTTTCGGACCTTTCCCTTGATGAAACAGCAGACATCTCTAAAAGGGATAAGGCGACTGGACAGTTCAACAGCAGATTTTGCTGCGATATCTGCAAGCTCATTTCCCTTTATTCCAGCATGTCCAGGAGCCCAGCAGTACAGGACTTCATATCATCGAATCGTTAAGCTAATATGAATTTTCAGAACATCCATTACCACAGGATTCTGAGTGTTTGGGAAAAGCTTCCAAAGATTTAAGAGCACTATACGAGTCTGTATAAACTATGAACTTTTTGTGGCAGAGCTTTGAGATGTACCAAAGACCATAATATATTGCAGTTAGTTCAGATGTTAGGACTGAGAAAGCATGGTGCAGGCATCTGCCCTCTATGTAATTTTCAAATACAAAAGCCATCCCGACATGAGCATTTGACTTTGATCCATCTGTGTAAATCGGATAATAACTGCTATATTTCTGCCTGTGCTCAGCAAAGAGTTGTCTGTAAACGATCTCGTTAGTGCTTGCCTCCACGTGCTGTTTGAAAACATCAAGAAGCTGAATCCGTGAATTTTCCCAAGGTGGGATTTCAAAGTTCTGTACTGCTTGGGGGCGCATATCAGAGAGGGAATGTTCCTCAATGATAGGGCGAAGTCTTAAAGAAAAGGTAGGAACACAGGATGGACGTGTTTCAAATAAAGTGTTACATACATTATCAAGTAAGCACAGCTTATTGGGATGTTCAGGTTGTGATAGAATATTAAAATATTGCCAAAAGGGACAATTGCTCACGCCTCAGATAAAGTGATACGGTTCGTTAGAGTCAACATACAGGCTCTGGACAGGAGAAGTCCTGAAAGATCCTGAACAAATCCGCAGTGGTGAACAGGATCTAGTTTTATCAATACTACCGAGCGGATCCGTAAACAACTGAGCCATAGTCCAGTCAAGAGCAGACCCGTAAACAGAGCCATATTCCAGTCTAGAGCGGACAACCCTCTGTAAATGCGAAGCATAGAGGAACGTTCTGCACCCCAGGAGATGTTCGCCAACACTTTTAAAATATTTAATGTTTTTAAACACTTCTTTCTAAGGTTTAAAACATGAGGAAGGAAAGTCGATTTCTGGTCGAACGTCACTTCTAAAAATTTTACTTCGGGCGCAACTGGAATAATTGTACCATTTAGATATAACTCAGGTTCAGAATGGAGAACTCGCTTCCTACAAAGGTGCACGCACACAGTTTTTTGTTTAGAAAAAGTAAATCCCTGTTTGTTTGAACATTCCTGGATCTTATTCAGAGCCATCTGCAGTTGCCTCTCTACATATCTCATGTCTGCCCCTCAACAGCTAATCTGCAGATCATCAACATATAGAGATCCCAAGATGGTTGGAGGAAGTTCTTTTAATACAGAGTTTATTTTTAAACTAAACAGGTTTACACTAAGCACACAGCCTTGAGGCACACCCTCTTCCTGTTCAAAAACATCTGACAAAACAGAGCCAATTCTTACTTGAAAAGTTCTAGCGTTCAGGAAATTCTGAATGAAAATTGGTAGGTTGCCGCGCAAGCCACTCTCGTGAAGATCGCGAAGTATACCGTATCTCCATGCCTTATCATAAGCTTTCTCTATATCGAAGAAAATTGAGACAAGGTGATTTCTTCTTACAAAAGCTTTTCGAATGGATGTCCCTAAGAGGAGCATGTTATCTACGGTTGTTCTCCCTTTTCGAAAACCACTTTGATAAGGTGATATAATATTATTCTTTTCCGAGAAGTAGACTAGGCGGCTGTTTACCATCTTTTCAAACAGTTTGCATACGCAACTGGTAAGGGCAATTGGCCGATAGTTGGCAGGATTCCTTGGATCTTTCCCTAACTTAGCAATAGGAATGACAAAAGCTCTCCTCCATGCACTGGTAAAAATACGCTCCTTCCACACTCTATTGTAAAGAGTGAGAAGGGCAGTCAGTGACTTATAGGACAGATGCTTTAGCATTTCGTAATTTATGCCATCAAAACCCGGAGAAGACTTATGTGTCTGCAATAAAGCTCTCTTTAATTCCAGCAGAGTAAATGCTCTATTGTAAGGCTCAGATTTGGTAGAGTTGAATGCGATGGGATTTATTTCAGAGTGCTGCTTGATAGAGAGAAATGCAGGTGAATAGTTTCTGCTGGAAGAAACGGCAGCAAATGTCTCACCAATAGTATTTGCAATTTCTTCTATGGAGCTATTCACTCGGCCATCTTTTTCCAAAAAGGAAAGTGAGTGGTCTTTATATATTCCGCATGCTTTTCGAACTCTTTCCCAAACCCGCTTACTAGGCATAGAGGATGTTATTGACGACACATATGAAATCCAAGAATTCCTTTGGCTCTGCCTTCTTACTTTTCGTGCATTTGCTTTGGCTCTTTTAAAGGCTATGAGGTTTCGCAGAGTAGGATATCTACGAAAAATACCCCATGCTTTTTTCTGTTTTTTCAGTGCTTCATAACAGTCGCGATTCCACCACGGTTTCGAATATTTTAGTATTTTTCCTGATGTTATAGGAATCGAAAGCATAGCTGCCTGAATAATAGTATTAGTAACAGCTTCAACAGCGTCATCGATATGCACATCTTCTACCATTTCCTCTGTGAGCTCTGCGGAGGAAGAGAAGAGTTCCCAGTCTGCCCTGTCCAGTATAAACCGAGGGAGTCTCGACATGGGGTTTGCTCCTCTTCGTGCAAGAGATACAAAAATGGGATAATGATCGCTGTTGTACAGGTCATTTCCGACACTAAAAGTGCGAAAATGGCAACAGAGATGGTGAACAGATGGCAAGGTCGAGAGCGTGGAATGTCCTTGAAGGCTCATGGAAGTACGTATCCTGCCCATTATTTAGGAGACAAAGGCTATGATCGTCGATCATTTGCTCAATTTGTCTTCCTCGGCAATTTGTATCTTTACTACCCCAGAGTGGACTATGGCCGTTAAAATCTCCTATTACGATAAAAGGCTCAGGCAGCTGCTCTATTAGATTATTTAAATCCTGCTGATAAATGTGCTCATTTGGAGGCAAATACAAAGAAACAAATGAAACAACAATATGAAGATTTATTTGAGTAGCGACAACTTAGAGGGATGTCGTCAAAGAAAGTACATTTGAGGGATAATCCAGTGAGGAGAGGAGACCTACACCTCCACTGGCACGCTCACCTGCAAGGTTATCCTTTATGACGATAGAAAACCTCCGAAGTTTTGCATGTTGTTCTGGTTTCAGATTTGTTTCCTGTATAGCTAAGCACACAGGATGATACGCATTTATTATAGATTTCATGTCAAGCAAATTTCGGTGGAAACCGCGACAGTTCCATGACATGAGGGTGGCCATTATGAATGGTTTTTGTTCTTTCTGTGCTCTTGTTTGGTTTTTCGTGGAAGTAGATGCTTGGGAACTTCCAGACCCTCGTCTACTTCCATAATGTCTGAATCCGCAGATTCAGACACCATTCCATCAAGAGAGCTATTGCTGGAACTTTGCTTTTTATTTGATACTTTTTGTGTGGTAGTTTTGGGTTTGCTTTGAATTACTATTTCTTTATTTTATACTGTATGGGTTGGGTTTTCTTTCTTCCTGTTGTTTGTAGTCTGTTGAGTTTTGTTTGGTGGAGTCTGCATACTAACTGAAGTTTGGGTGGCAACTGTACGAGATCTTTTAAGAGCATTGGCATAAGATGTATTTGGTCTTAGCTGTGCGCTTTGGACTAATCTTCTGGCTTCGGCGTATGAGATGTTCCTCGTAACCTTTGCAGTCTGCACTTATTTTTCCAATTTCCATTTTGGGCACAGGCGTGAAAATGCTGGGTGCTCACCCTTGCAATTTATACAATGAGGCGCAGCGGTACAATTTTCAGAATCGTGGCCAATCTGTGAGCATCGGGCGCATGTGAGGCTACCACGACAAGACGTCTTAGAATGGCCGAAACGCTGGCATTGGAAGCATCGCATAGGGTTTGGAATATAAGGTCTTACAGGAAGATTTAGATATCCGGCCTTAATATTCTTAGGCAGATCAGGCGTGTTGAAGGTCAGGATCACGTGTTTCGTGTCAATCAACTGGCATTCCTTTCGCATCTTGATCCGCCTAGCACCACAGACATTTTGGTCAGCTAACTCCGAGACGAACTCTTCTTCTGAGACACACAGAAGGTCGATCTCCGAGATTACACCCCTACAATAATTAAGTGTTTTGTGCGCTGACACAGTTATAGATATTTCTCCAAGTTTGGTTTGTCGGGATAGAGAAGCAGACTGGGTGGCCGATATGGTATCAATAAGCAGGTCTCCTGATCGGAGTCGCTTTATGTTCCTTGGCTCACCTATACATGAATGTATATATTTGCTTACGAGAAAAGGAGACATCTTTTGCAGTTCACCAGAAGGACTAGAGACAACGAGGAAGCGAGGATTTTCAGTGTTTTCTTTGGCATTTGTATTGGTACGGATCTTCTTGTTAATGGATTTGTCAATAATCTCAGTATCTTTGGTATTTGCTTCAATACGGATCTTCTTGTTAATAGATTTGTCAACAATTTCAATTTCTTGGTTCGTTTCATTTGACTCGGGTTTTTTAAGTATAAATAAAGAAGCCATGATTGAAAGAGAAAAAATTCGGGTCCGACGGCCCCGCCCACCACGGAGCCCAACAAGGGAACACAGATTCCTGTATTAGGGCTAGCCGGACCTATACGCAAACTGAAGCCCCACAGTCGGCTTTTCCGAAAGCAGGTACTCCCAAGAGATTGACCCCAAGCCACTGACACAAGGACTAGTGACCAGCCGATTGACACCGTGAGGACGACTAAGGTGCCTCCCGTTTAGCTGAAGCAGAGGCCAAAGCAGTGTGTTGGGGACAGTACCTCGCCCCTCAACTACCAGGACCCTCCTTTCCAGCGACACGGGTCTCCACGCACGGCAAACACGTGGGCAGTTTTCTCGCCAATCGAAAACTAGAGACAAAAGCTGCTCCAGTCTCTCGTGACGAGCCCCAAACTCCGTAGAGAGAAACCACGAGGGAGAAGGGAAGGGAAAAGTTCCAGCCAAGAAGAGAAGGAAAAGAGGATAGATCACTGGGGCTCCAGGATCGTGACACCCGTCTCACCAAGAAGATGATCCCCTGAAGGGCTAGGGTACCTCGGGATTGCCACACCCGTACTCACAAAAGTGAGCCCCTGAGGGCGAATGTCGTGAAGGAACACACAAATCGCCGTACATGTACTCTTAAGTATCCGAATCTGAAAATTTGCATAATTTTTCGGCGATATAATTAGTATCTTTGGTTCAATTCGTTTCGTAAAAATAGGCATAATTTGCTGATTCTCTAAATTTTGCGCACGAGTGTGTATTACTTCCTGAGCTCCTAAATTTTAAATTGGAGTATTTTCAAGATCCTTCCGTTTTATTCACTCTTACCTAAATTATTATCTAACAATGTTCCAAAATGTAGAAGATGTTTCCCAGTATCGGATGGGGATGATTTGATCGGCGCTGCCAATTTGCATAACTAAGCTTGTTTCATTTTAAGCAGTTCAATGTTAGCACTCAGGCAGTTTCCTTTTAGATATTTTCAGCAAAACTCTGTATTTTTGCAGAAATTTTGCCTTAGTTTATAGTTAATTAGTTTCTTCTATGAATTCCACAAGCACTTATTTTAAAATCAAGTTTAAGGCCCAAAATGTCCGAATTTGCTTATAATAACCGTTTTAATTAGAAGTACAACTAAATGAACGCATACAATAATGGCGACGTTGCTTAACTGAAGCATTGCTATGAATACGTTTTCTTGGAGAATAGTTAATGCGCATGGTTATCAACGTTCGGTACATTCTGAAAATTTGGCGACTGGTACTAATGGGATTGCGTTAATACGTAAGTACCGTAATATGTTTCTGTTAATCATAACACAGGTTTTATTTCTTTTTTCTTTTTTTTCCTAAATGCCTTCGGGACCACAGCGATTTTCAGTTAATCATGAATGTTCAAGATTATGTTCCTTAACTGAGATTTGATTGTTCTTCGTGTCGAATAAATTATCTACTCGCTGCCAAAGTTTCTAATAAAACTCAGTTTTATGGAATCAAATTATTTCAATGCCTCTAATTTTTGTACTCAATACATATTCTGTCTTCGCCCATGTCAAATACTACACCAAATTACAGATTATTTCCTTTTGGGGGACCGGAATATATTTAAAATATTTTTCTTGGAAGTTACATTTAATGATTTTTTTATTATTATTTTGCAGGTAGGTCAGCATATCTTGGTGTTATTAAATAATTACGGTGTTAGTGCCGCAGTCTATTTCTACGCAACTCTGGAAATTATAGGCATTATGTGGATTTATGGTAAGAAAAATAAATGAACGATTGAAATTTTATGTAAGTTATGGTCTTTATGGTGTAATAAGAAAATAAATCAAATATGCATGGTAAGACTATTTAAAATTTAAGCAACCGATTTTACCAAAATTATGAAATCTAACATATTGTTTCAAAATGATCAGCTGCGGTGAGAGAGCTTCCTCGGAAAGCGGAGTTAGGGTTGCCGGAAAATGACAAGGAAAGAACAGGGTTTCCCGTATTCGGCTCAAAATCGTCCATTGGGCGATATTTGGTGACAAAATTAGTGATATTGCGCTGACGTAGCGAGAAAATTCTCTAATACATTTTTAACTGTTTTCTAGAGAATGTTCTCAAAGGTAGGTTAAAGCTATATATACCCTGCCTGTCTTGGGAGACAGTAGTGTATTGAGTTCAGAGATTACTTTGAGATCGATCGGCCGAATCGGGAGCTGTATTTTATTGCTTTACCGTGAAGCTGTTTTCACCGTTACAGCCTGAGAGCCTGAAGGCTGTGCTGCTGATTGTTTCAGCGTGTTTGTCGTAGTTTTTCGATGACTGCAAGCGTGTCTTTGGATCTGTCCTATGTAATACTGGCGAATAATTTGTGCTACGATTTTTCATGAAGTGTTATGATGAATTAATCCAAATCCGCGAAGCTGTAGAATGAAACAATATTACACGGTTACCCAGGCCTTACATTTCTGTAAAAATTTAAGCCGATGTGTTCAGGCCTCGTACACAAGTGGAACAGAGAAGCGTTCGCATTTGTACGTAATTAAAAACGAAATTTTTGTTTAAAAAAGGGTTAACGTGAATGGCAAGCGTTGAATGATGATTGACAATGAATTCGAAATAAGCAATGTTTCTCAATGCTCATAATTTTTCATTGAATGATGAGCATTCATACTCAGACTTCTTGTGTTCCAATTTTTACAATGAATAGAAAATTTTTTCGAAATGCAAGTATAGACACAGGAGGAATGTGTAAAAATTTAGATTTCGTAATTGTTATAAAATTGATATCTCTAAATTTAAAAACGCCAAATTAGGAAATTTTGCGCCATTTAAAAAATGTTTGTTATTAGAAGTATGTACGAGTACCTACGATTAACGTTACCAATACATAGGTCGGATACAATATATATTAGTGGACAATATATATAGATCGGATATATACATTCAGGGACACATAGATATATGTAAGATAAAAAATATGAAAAGCAAACTTTAATTGGCTATAACCTCTTTTATTATTCATTTAATTTGTGGACGCATCTCTCTCAGTCTTAAAAATAGTGCTATCAATCTAAACTGCGTCATTCAAATTAATCATGCGATCTTACGTAACCCATAAAGCAGCCCAATCAAAATAATTGTAAGCCAATACCTTTGACTCCCGCCCTTCTTCCTTTGCATTACTATTGCGTCACACTCTCTCTTCTGGCGTACGCTTTCGTACTGCTAAGACGCCGCAGCAATTTTCTATCGCTATAGTATCAAAATTGTAAATTTTTCTGGAAATGGCACGATTGGAGTGTCTAGTGAATTGTGGCCACCAATCTGAATTTGAATAAAAAAATCTGATGTGTACACCACATGACTTCCTTGTACGCAATATTAAATTATACGCATTTTTTCTTGCATTTCATTTAAACTTATTGGATTGAATTAAATCTACTTCGACGACAGCGCATAAACCACAATAGAATAAATGCATTCTTTAAAATTTACTCTAGTATTTGTTTACCATAGCGACACTCTGGCGCTAGATTCACTTAACAGTATTATATTTCGTTCATATTATAACTCATAATGCACAAAATTGATATCATTTAAAGAATTATCTAATCGTTGCCATATGTTCTATTCAAATACTACAATAAAGCTAGAACGATGTATAAAAGAAATTAAGCAAACAAAACAAAAAAGAAACAGTTTTTCACAGACGATTGAGTATTTCTCATTCAATTAATTCAGTTCTCACTTCGCGAGAAGGCAAAAATACATAAAAACTCAAAATATCTATATTAAAAATTACGAAGTAAATCTCAAACGCTTATTTCCTCGAAAAAATTCCAGAAAGGATTAAGCATGATTTAAATAATAAATGAAGGCGTTATCTTTGTTGTTGCGAAGCTACGTTTCTCTAGATTGGCAAAAAATCCACTAGTCTGCTGTTTGAAATGTAAACAAACAATGGCCGCCATCAAGAAAAGGATTAGGCTTAGCGGCACTTAAACAACTTTAAAATTGTTGATAATTCTAAAAATATTGCATAGAGATTTACTAAAGGCATAAAAACCTTAACGGGAAGATAAACACAACATAATTCAATCATTTTTCAAGCAAAAAATGTACAATTTACAAACATATAAGAGTAAAGAAACTGAGATCACTGAGCCGGGTAACAGAGTGGATATATATATAAATATATTTATATACGTTTGGTGCGGCCGATTGCAACCAAAATACGAGGTGCACATCTACATGTTATAGTATTCCTATATACAAAATTTCAACGTTCTGAGTCTACTCGTTTTTGATTTATGCGAGATACGTACGCACGTACGTACATACGTTCGTACAGACGCCACGAAAAAAGCAGTTTATAATTTTTTTGGAGGAAAAGAGTCTTTTATTCTGTCCTTACGTACAGATATCACGCAAAAACATCGTTAAATTTCATTCGATAGCTGTCAAACTGGATATTTTCGTTGAAATATGCTGCCTGAAACTTTTCGCAATTACAATACTTCCGTTTTACTTCGTACAAGGAAGTAAAAAGGAATTTAATCTGGCTCGACTGCTTATTCTTCAAAATGGGTGGACGCTCTAAGCATCTACGCTAAACAATATTGCTACGTTTTTACATCTCAGTGTTCTTACATTCAATGCTTCCAAAATTGCGCTAATATTTTTATATATGTGTGTGTATTGATAGAAAGAGAATATATAAATGAAATATTATCTTCTCGGGAAAGTGAAGTATAATTTATATAACAAATGGGTACTATAGTTGAAATTAAAATTTGCAATTTTTAATTAGTTAAACTGGAAGTGATAATTAAAAAAATTAATAAAAAGTAAGTTTAATCAATTAAAACAAGAGAATCAATGCTGAATCCACAGAAAGATCCCCACATTTCAAAGGGAATTGGAATCTCTCTATATAATCACTAACAATTCATGAAAATCACGTTGAATCTTTTCCCGTTTCTGAACAAAACCTCTACTCCAATTTAAAATTTTCTAATTAATTTAATAGAATCTGAATTTAAATTTGAATTAAGTTCAGAAAATGTGAAAAATTCTTGACGCGATAATAGACGATTAATTACAGTTAATTTCAAAAATAAAAAAAAATTAAGTTAGTATTCATACAGAAAAATACTTAAACTGAAAAACATAACAGCGAATCATTTATTGGCCCATCTTCCTTCTCCCATGAATCAAGCTTTGAAGAATGCATAGCATCACAAGCGCATTATTATCGGAGATTTTATTATATTAAAACCCAACAAATTAAATGATTCAAGAAATTAGGCACAAAATTCAGAATTAAATACAATCCTAAAAAGAATATTCCTCTTAAAAAGGTAAAACACAACCTTGACCAATATATTATTACCACCAGCTACAAATACAACTACGCACTCAACTTCTTTGAAGAACGGACACATCATGTTATATTAAAAATCATATTAATAAATTTCAATCCAATAATATTAATAGCATGAATTTTAACAGCAAGGAACTTATGTGTTGAAGAGATTAAACTGCTATTAGTTGCCCACTCGGTAAAATGGGTAGCCACTCCAAATGCCGTACCAACGAGGTGGTGTTCGAATCCTGGAAAAGGTATGAGTGTTTGTAAATGTATAGCCGCTGTACAACAATGGTCATCCAAAATACCCGGCAAGCCAAACATCCTCTCGAGGGGTTTGGTTGAGGGAAGGAGTAATTGAAGACTGTAGGAGTGCCCGCAGCGGTGTTCACCCTCAAAATTGGATTTGGATTGGATTATTCAATTATGGCACGCAAGCACACGAGGGCTATCTACCTAAAGGGAAGGATGCCTTCGGGGGGGATTTTCTAAGAGAAACTGGCTCGTATACACGTTACACATGAAAAAAACCACGAAAACTCCCACGCAGCCAGCCCGTTAGGAAGATTTGAACCTTGAACCGAACTACCAATGTTCACCGTCTTTACCGCTCGGCTGTAGACGGCCCTCAAAAATGAGCCAGAAGCTTAATAGTTAGCTAGGTCCAGCAATACTTCAATCCCCTGTGGTACTACAAAGGTGCTGGCCTCGCTTCTGTGAGATCCGTGAATGTTTTATCAACCAATATCTTCCTTATGTTTGTGAAAAAATAATCACTCAAGGATGCTTTCGTACTTGTTGCTATAATAAGTAATTTGAACGGCCAAATAAAAGTTGATTGTGAATATTTTATTACCTTATAGCAGATTATCTTGCTTTGTAAATGTTAAAAGTAAGAAAAAGGAAATGTGTATCTCAAGGCAAATTTACTTTTATTTTTAGGAATTCGAAATTTTTTAGTGGATGTAAAATTCATGACAGGTACTACCCCTGGTATCTTTTGGAAAATCACGTGGGCTTTTACAGCTCCATTAGCTCTTATAGTAAGTTATGTTTTGCAAATTACTATAATTAACAAAATTATATTTATAATCTTAAACAGACATAATAAAATCATAGATTTTTTAATCCTGAGAATGCGGCATTTTTCTCCATGATAACAATATTTGAAGAAAACTCTAAAAAGCGAATAGAAAAAATTATGTCTTTAAGTCAGAACTTAAACGTTTACAGCATGTTTATATTCAGAGTAAGCTATTTTTCATTGTATGCCAGTAAATGTATAATACACGTGCATCTAAGTTAATATATTCTCCTTAAAATTATCTCCGTACACAGACAGGATGATCATTTGTCTTTAAAACGAAACGGCACTCAATCAGTAAACAGCAGCGTGATGCATTCAGGATAGCTGTGGATTGGCACTATTGAAACGAGGTTTTCGAAGTTTAGATGTTAACCAAATTACATGCAAAGGGCCCTGTAGTCGTAAATTTGCTTCTCTGAGGTATCTGGAAGTCGTTCTGACACACCTAGTTTAGTTAATAAGTGGTATTATTCCCTATCCATCACTATCCACTGAACTGCATGACCGAATAGGCATGTTTTGTTAGTTTACTCTAGTTATGCGGGTCTAATGGATTGGGTCATCCTGGAATGAGTACGTGCCTAGCACAAAGGTTACTGTACGAAAAGATTTATTCTTGTATCACATCACTGACTCTTAATCTACTTCGAAGCAACTTCTTTTCTACTTTCTTTGTGCCTTCGTTTCTCCCACTTCTGTAAGTAAACGAGGACATCGTTGAAAAATGTCTAATCTTGTTCGTCTACTAACCTTGCCTAGAACATGGTTCTTATTAACTACCCTCCTGATCTGTTTGGAGCTTGATAGCAGATCGTCTAACAGCCCTGTACAAACCCAATTAGTTCATTGTGGTTCTGTTTTCTTCTTATAATATATTTAAATTATTCAATTGTACAGAAGACCGAGATCTGATCACCTTAGGATGTGCATGATAGGCTGCTGAAGATTGTGGAGTTGATGCTGTCGCGTGGAATAAATACGACTTTTAAATCGGAAGGGTTCCGATGCGGTCACTCTTGTCTCCAACAGAAGTTCTGATCGAAGGCCAGTAAATGGGAACAATACGTGAAGATTTATTATGATGGTTTGGTGTTCCTCTTACTTTTAAGTGTACCTGATCTATCTGGAGACGATCGTCCATGTGTGAAAGCTCTTATATGTTCACATCTTTCAACACCATCCAACAATATACGCAGGACGATCCAAGTGAAAATATTGTGCTAAAACAATAAGCTGTATAGTTTTCAATAAATGCGTAAACAAAGTCTCTATATTTTAACCAAAATTCCTAGCACTCAATTTATTCCTAGCATTAGATCATGGATTTCTCAATCTTGGAACGCAGATGTGTAGATACTTATATGTAAAGATTTTGACCAAAAAATACTAACGATTTCCATTGAAATTCAGTTTAGTATATATTCAGTTTAGTATGACACTGATAAGATCTTTGAGCTAAAATGCTGAGATAGATAAGAAAGGTAAGCAAATGATAAGAAGTGGATGGAAAAGAAAAACGTTTGCTTTTGCTGTACCAGAACAAAGTGGAACGAATAAAACCTGTCGCTATGGCAGAGAACATGGGTGAAGAATAAGATTGTCGTCACCACGCCCCTAAAGCAGAGAATCGGGATGTTGTCCTGGATCGAAGTACGCAAAAGTTAGAAACTGTGGTATGAGAAAAGACACAACTGTCATTAGCGTCGAGTACATGATGCTTTATAAAAACTGCCTTTTCATACTTCACTGCTACTGCAATATCTGCAGTTATGCGCTATAGCACTAGACTTGTATCATTAGCAATGCATCCCACGCTCTAAACCCTGAAATGATCTCGCTCTCGTCAATTAGATATATTATAATTTAAATGTTTGTTAAATATAGCGTCAGAAACGAAGAGCTGTTTCACCAAGTAGAGTTACGGTGTGTGGTGAAGTGTAAATAAATTTGTTTGAAGCTGTTAACCATAATAGCTTTAAATGGTAATCAAAAGGATCAGCTGAATGTATATTATCTTTAAGTTTGTATGTTAATTTATATAAATACCATATATTATAAGATTAAAAAGAGATTTAAATTTTTCAAAAATGTATCTATTGCTACTAATTTGTTTAATTTAAGTAACTTTAGAAGAATTTAATTTAAATTATTAATTAATGATCTTATGCCTTGCTCATTCATAACACTCTGAGAAATCGTTAGGTGCAGTTCCATGCGGAAGAAAAATAGCTTTAAGACCAGATTCAGCTAAAGAATAGTTTTGTATGGTAAGTTAGAAGCAGTTGGTTGAATATGCAGATTCTAAGGGATGTAATATGTAGATTAATATAATGTGGGAAACAACTGCATATGTGATTAGTTATGTTAAAATTATTTATTTTTACATCATGAATTGCTTAGCCATAACAAATACGTCGTTTTTCAAAATAGAGTAAGTCTACTGCCCTTACATACCTATTACTTTTTTAGACAAATAGCTTGGGTCTTAGCGAATGCTATGAAACTGCAATCAATTAGCACTTTTCCTTGGGTATAATGTTTTATTTTGAGGAAATGCTTTTAAATATAAAATACTTAAATGTTTCAGAAATTATCAGTCGGATGTAATCTATTTACATTTTTGAACTCCTGCCCGATTCACCGAAGAGCACTGCGAGGAGATAAGTTTTAACCCTGTACCGACCGAAATTGCCGAAACAATTGGTCAGGATACCGCTCAACACATGCAGCCATAAGGCTGAAGACATATGGATTAAAAGCGTTATACTGGAAAATTTGGTTTACCTCGTCAATTGAACTCATTGGTCAGCCTTCCGCTCAGCATATGCAGCAATAAGGCTGAGGACATATGGATTAAAATCTCTCTACTGAAAATTTAGTTAACCTCGTCAACGGGACCCATTGGTCATCTTTCCGCTCAACACATGCAGCCATAAGACTGAGGACATATGGATTAAAATCCCTCTACTGAAAATTTAGTTAACCTCGTCAACGGAACTCATTGGTCAGGTTTCCGCTCAGCACATGCAGCCATAAGGCTGACGACATATGGATTAAAAGCGCTGTACTGGAAATTTTGTTAACCTCGTCAACGGAACCCATTGGTCTTTGCTAAACATATAAAATAATACAATAATGGGGTAAGGAAGAAAAGCACATGCAAGATGTATAGATGGAAGGAAGATGCAAATTTCTCTTGCTCTTTTGTTCTTTACAGATACAGATCGGCTATATAATAGTTTTTTACTTACTCTTAAATATTTAGTAATTCACTCGTATAGTATGATTAATTATTCATAATCGCCATGGCTTCGTTTCCAAGAATATATTTAATAATTTTTTGAAGTGCAAACACGCTTTGTATTGTTAAAAAAATGTTTCTTTTCTTAAATCTTTGTTGCAAATCCTAGTAGATGCTTTGTTCTAATAAATGAAAATAATGGACATTGCCAAATGCAATGTTTGTTATCTGCTAGATGTGCTGATGTTTCGCATCCACATCTTACATTTTTTTTCTTACGAATCGCTGAAATACGACGGAAACTTTCCATGAGTTGTTACTAACAGTCGAATATAATAGATGTTAAATGCATTTTAATTTGTATCACTTAGATAAGTTACAAAAAATAAAATAAAGATTTAAACAAGCGTATGGTTCCGGGAACAAACCAACGGTTGGCTTGCTGCGAACTTGAAGGGATTTCTGCCAACTTTCATAGTCAATAGGGAAGTAGCTTGCATGTCCTCCTTAACTCCTACATAACAATTTCAATTCTCCTGGTAGGAAACCGTATTTTCTGGTCGATTCCTAACTTAGCTAATTTTAGCATTCAAAATCTAGAAGGGAAAATTATGCTAATAATTTAATTTGCAGAGGACTTGGTTATAATAAGAATATAATAAATGAAAGTAGTCATGGCTGAAATATAGGTAATTACCACAACGCTCTTTAAAAGAAACCTACATATCATTTAAGAATGAATGGTAATATTAATATTACTATATAAGCTATCTGCATTTCTACTTCTTTATAACTTGAATCTCGCCTGGTTTTATTATTGGCTCTACTACTCCTTAGGCCTCAAATCAATCAGGTGAGTGTGCTGTAGATTCGACGGAATCGTTTGCTGAATGTAAGCTTATATTTGCTTCCCTGTGATGAGTCTCTTCTTATATTAAGGTGACATATCGATTAACTATTAAAAGGATAAAACTCGGCGGGGCCTTCGCAGGTATTTTGCCAGGATTATTCTTTGTTATTAAGACGAAAACGATAATAATGTGACGGAATCCATTTTAAAATTTAAATTAGCTCTGAAGGCATTGAGGAAAGGAAAAATTAGGAGAATATGTTTTCACGCGAAGGCGGAATACGCAATAATTTATATAGAAAAATACGCGAGGTCGGAAACTACACAATAAAATATGGTAATCATTCCCTTTTAAGGTAGATTCCTCCACGATCAAAAATTGCAATGTTTAACAAAGCAAACAAATTTGGAAAATAATTATTTGGATAATTCGTCAAAATTAAATCTTTATATGCAATGAATTTATTTACTTAAATCCGTACTTAGGTGATCTTCATCTATGGACACGTAGTTGAAGAATCTGAAGAGAAAAAGAGCTTACCACTGTGGGCCGAAGCAAGCGGTTGGGCTCTGGCTGGTTTTGCTGTTTTACAAATACCCGTGTGGGCAATTTATGTGATCTATCGGAGTCCGGGAGAAACGATATGGGAGGTTAGATATAGAATTTCCTTTTATTGTTCTAGTCCTAGTAGCCAGTAATATTAATCTCATTTTTTTAACTTAATTCCCAAGAGAGAGTTGTTAGAATTATTCGAATTTGATTTCAGAAAAGTGTTTCCAAATAAAACTCTACGTAACAATAAACAAGCATAATTTTGTTAAATGTCCATAGACAACTGTTCTGGCAGAAAGTTAGCTTATGGTAAAGCACACAAAGTTTATCTGCCTAATTAAAGAGAGACACTTGTGCGGAAGTCTTTCTAAAGGAAACTAACTGGTTTTAAGGATTCTAAGTGAAATTGACATTACAGTGGTCAAAACCACACAAAGACATGTCAAACCATCGTCGAGATTCAAACCAGGATCAAAGTAATAATGTTAACGATCATACCTTTCGGCCACTGCAAATGCAGAAAAATTGCATTAAATTCCATCCGAGATCATCCTGCATAATTATTTAGTGAACTTCAACTTGCAGAAATGATATTAACTATGAAGTAAGTTTTTATTAAACATGACACATATTTTCCATAAATAGTTAAAACACATCATTGTTTTCTTAGTGGATGCGCTTGCCTGAAACAGTTTCCATAGCTTCAGTTAAAACCAAACAAGTATAATAATTAAAATAAAATAACACGCCGAACAAGCATTAGAATTCAAACAACTGAAATCAGCGTTATATTTGCATTATGTTGTAGTTAACGACTGCAATTTCAATCCATCTTTTCCTTCAGCCTTTAAGGAAATTAAGTTTGAGTTCTCGTTTCATCAATAGATGACACCAGTAGCTTAATTACTGTCCAGCCATTTTTATCTTACCTTATCTAATCACTATATCTTATCTCGTTCATTTGCGCTTTGGCAGCTGAGGCTGATGGTTCGGTAAACCCATCGAAACTAGTCCTGCGAAAATTTGCAAATATAACGCTAATTTTTGTTGTTTGACTTCTAAATTAAGTATAATAATATGAAGAAGTGTCCGGAGATGATAGTTGCCAAAAGAAAAATTATATTATTTTCCTATCCGAGACCATAATTCTTAAATAATCTGTGAACTGCGACATCTAGTAATGGTTAAGGCAGTGCTTTCCTAATTTTTCCGAGTCTCGGCGCCATTTTTTTAATTAAAGATTTTCCGTGTTACCTTACCTCAGCTGCATTATTACGTTTCAAAATAGATCCATCATCAAAGATACAACAGCAAAAAGTCACAAGACTGTTTATCAACGAAAACAAACAAGAGGTTATATAACACTAACTATACCACATGAACTCATTTATATAACCGTTTATTTATATGAAGCACTGAACTCAATTTTACTAAGATTATAAACTTATCGACTGAATTTAGGTGATAACGATTGCTTGTTATACTTTCACAAGATCTTCTAGAACAGTCCAAATCCATCGCGAAGTATCTACGCACTTCGACATGTTTATATTAAAGTCACCCTAAGTTGAAATTACTATATATAGTAGAAAGTGTATTCGTCCTCCGTTAAAATATAGTTGTACCACTTCGGGATGTCATACTGCAAAGATAACACTGAAATCTAAGTATTGTTGAGCAAAAAGAACGGAACGAAAAATAGATAGATGGCATTGCATCCAGCTTTTTATTAAAAAATTTCCTAATGCCATATCAATCCTTCGATGAGCAATAGGAAGATATCACCTTTCTTGGCATTATTGGCAAAACTGCAAATTGCAGCAACCCCGACCTCATCCCACTCTCGATGAGCAATGCAATTAAAGCATTCACTCATTCACTGAACAGAAGAAGAAGAAAGCAATTATAATTTTTTTTGTAACAGTAGCCCACTCGGTATGTAATCGAGAGGTCCAGGTTCGAGTCCCGGTGAGGGCATTGCTCAGTTTTCATATTTCCTGCTTCAAAATAACCTAATGACTCTACAATGGTATTAACTATAAATTAGGCTTTCATTAAATACACAACATATTTGCAATAAATAGTTAAAGCAATCTTTGGTGCAAGCATAATACTTCTGCAAAAAATATTTCCAATAAAAATAAATCCGTATACATTTGTTAAGCTAAAGTTTGAGTTGATTGATTATTTAATTGGAATACGGTAATGTGGAGAACATCGTAGAAGACTTCCTAGGGTAAATTCGTTTGTATTTTATTTTCATGGAAAAAAAAACCATGATGATAGCCATATATCTAGATTGTTCGAACTCGGAATCGATCTACCGATATCAAAAAAAATCTTAACTACTCGGTCACTGTTAACACAAAAAATTTAATTGCTTATACAGTAATACAATAATTATAAATTATACAGTAATTATAAATGTTATTATGTTATTACTTCGTTATTTTGCACACGTCGTTTGGTGAGGATTGCGTTCTGAGCCGCCACTTCCGTCATGCTTGGCCTCTCAGGTCCCCAGATCTCAATCCGTGTGATTATTGGTGTGGGGTTACTTTCAATCCCAAGTCTACTTCAATCGTCCGGTCTCTTAAGAATGCTAAAAGACAACATCCGACAGCAGGATCTCACCATACCTACAAATGCTCGTATGTTATACAGTGCTGTTCATAACATTGTCCCTCGACTACAAGTACTGCTAACGAATGACGGTAGACATACTGAACATTTGTTACAAGGTTGTTGTCTTTGCTCAAAATCAATTGTTATGCTAATTATTACTTTTGTTATCATATGAAGCGCCATCTGTTGGCAGTTTTAAGCACTTTTTTGCTTCAAATAAAACGCCATGACATTTCAAGCATGTGTGTCAGTTTTTACATCTCTACCTACATCATCCAATGCATTACTGAAATTTCAAATGTTAACGAACTTTTAAGTCACCCTGTATATAACACCTTTACTTATTATTCTCGTAAAAAATGAATTAAATACTAATTCAGCAAGATTAAAATTAGAAAAGTTCACTATATTTTTGCCATTATTCTTCATTTATAAAGTTGGTTTTTTAATTTATATTGTAAACTTAATTTATTCATAATTAAAAAATTATTAAAAAGTATATTCCCCTTTTTTTAAATATAATCTCTAGTTTTAATTCATTATAAAGTCTATTTTTAATTTTCCTTGAATGGTAATGCTTAGATTTTATAAATAATACAAAATTTTCCTACTTGATTACTTACGAAGGAAAAAAGAAGAATTTTATTTTACTAGTTATCTTTGCCCAATGTAATCAGATAACTGATTTTTATGAAATATTTTGCTTAATTTTATGTAAAACATCTTTGTGTCTAATAATTAGTAACATAGACGGAATAACTGCCTATGTACTAGTTTTGTTATTATAAACGAACTCAGAGCTGCTTATATGACTGGGAATTAAAATAAATTCCTTTTGTCGAACTTATATCATTGCAAACGATGCCAGAATCACAAATCTAAACAAATCATAATTCGCAAAAACTAAAAATCGAATAAAAGTACACTACGAGCACTAAGTTATTTCAAGATTTAATACTTTGGAAAAATCAAATTACGACATTTATATGAGAATTCTTCCGTACAATTTTAAGAAAATGTACATCGTACATTCAGCGTAGAATTCAACATAGAAAAAGAATTCAGAAAATGAATGGCTGAAAAGAACTAAAACTGGGATTTCGGCTTGTTCATGATATATTAACCACATCAAGCCTAGAAGGTAACAGGTAAACCTTCGTTGCCTCAAAACGTTACAGTAAAATCCGATACTGTAATTGGTTCTTCAAGAAAACAAGACTTCACATGTTAGGCCAAATAACAAGTTAAAAAAAGTTTCTTACTGAAAAATAGACTACTCTTAGAAACTGGAAAGGAAACATTAGAGGAATGTTTTTAAGGATCAGTTTACTACAGAAAAAGGTTTATCTTTGATACCGTTCTAAGTATTATGAAAAACATATGTTTCGTTTTCGATAAAATGACACTTTAGAATTTTTAAACACTTTACTGAAATGAAGACAAAATATAGAATAATAGGCTTATAGAGTAAATTAACTACTTTCTATGGTTGGCAGAAAAGAACTTGAATGAAAACTTGCTAGACAGCACATGAGCTCTTTTTATCTATTTCCTTGCAACAATATGAATTTAAAACAATATTAACTTTAATGATAATATCAAAAATCAGTAAATTACTTCCATAGGATCTTAGGCCATTGTAGTATACTTAAAACCAAATCACTGATTAGCTGATGAAAGAGGGTGTTAATTTATTCCGAAGGGGAAAATATATTACATACCATTATTCCAAAATTGTAGTCATTATTGTGACAAAAGTCTGTCATAAATCAGAGGTACGAGTCGGAATTACATCCATTATTTCTGTAACAAGATCACCAGTGAAGCAACATTGTTGTAAAATCGTGTGAGAGATTATCTATGCTTGAATCCCTGTATTGGTAATGTACTATGAAATAGAGTGTATTTTCGATTATCTGGATGCGGATTATCCGTGCGTCTCACGCACTCAACTATATGCTCAAGAGTATAAAATGTAAAACACTCTGTCCGATCATGCTCTAAAAATCGATATATTTCATCTTTAGGCTTAGTTTCAAGAATTACCTCGTGCATGTGCATAGTCGAAAGGATTGTTTTAGTTGATCACTGGAACATCTTTTTATTTAGCATGTGTATTATCCGCGCATTTTTCTCCTTATTCTTTTAAAAGGTTGATTGAAAATTTTAGAACTAAAAATCGAATAAAAATACAGTACGAGCACTAAGAATTTCAAATGTCACAACAGCAGAACAAGCACAGAAGGATACTGAAAATACAATCGAAGAAAGTATTGGCAATTACAAACTATCTAAATCATGCAAAAATGTCTAGTGTTGCTAAAATATGTGTTTCCTAACAAATATGATATAACAAGGTGTCGTCACCGAATGCAAAACGAGAAATGGAAAATCTTCCAATTTCCAGCATAAACTCGATTATGTCTTTATAAGAAATCATTGGTTAGAATAAAATTTATGCAGTCTTTCAGAGTTTAAGACAATCCTTTTAGTTTAATTAACGTTAAAAAAATTCATAAACTTTCAAATTGTTCTAAGACGTGCCTTAATCAACAGTTATATCATTGGCTAGAATAGAATTTATGCAGTTTTTCAGAATTTAAGACAATCCTTTTAATTTAATTCAGGTTAAAAAATTTCATAAACTTTCAAATTGATCTAAGACGTGCCTTAATCAACAGTTATATCATTGGCTAGAATAGAATTTATGCAGTCTTTCAAAATTTAAGACAATCCTTTTAGTTTAATCCAGATTTTAAAAATTTCATAAACTTTCAAATTGTTCTAAGACGTGCCTTAATCAACAGTTTTTACACACAGAACGTACGAAGTATAAAGCTCTGCTTAACTGCGCATAAAACCTTCATCCTCAAGTAATAGTCAAAATTCACAGGCATGGGCCAGTTACAAAGACTAATTTTCTTAACGGAATCATAAGATATTCTTATCTTCTTTGAGCTATTAAAGAGCTCTTGTCTCTCAGAACTCAATCCAGCGCTAAAGTAGTGTTTATACACTTAAACGTAACATCAAGCTCGTATACAAAATGTTATTCGTAAATTAAATTAAGAGTTGATTACTAAATTCTCCTCATTTTTGTCCCCCTCAGTAAAACACGATTTAATTGCATTTGCCCTATCCTCTAATTAGAAGTAGTTATTTGAAGGGAATTTATTAGGTTCTTAATTACCAAATGTAATCGGATTAACTTGTCATTGATTCGTTGCGGGCGTTTTTGTATGCAGAACGTAAATTGTCATCAAATATACTGAACATAAAAAAACGAATAATAGCTCGGAGACATTTTGAGAGAGTCCCTAAAGGAATGAAAGAAATGAAGTTATGTCTTTATTTCTAGTAACTATTATTATTTAGTGGCAGATGGTCAATATACGTTTTAGAAAATATAAAAAGATTAGGTATACATCGAATGTTTTATATTATTAAAATAAAAGCTCGAACAGGTTACATAATTGAAGTACTTTTGTAAACAATTCACACGGTTAGTGAAGTTTTGTGTTAGAATTTAAATAGAAATCTCCAACACATGTTGAGACTGCTTCAGAGCCTCTGTAACTGACTGCAAGGAGGAGCAAGGCAGCAGAATTTAGGAGCCGAAACATATGCATCCGGTGGCAAAAATCCTAGCTCTCGCCTGCAAATTTATGATTATGAACGGAATAATCATAAATTTACAGGACTGACTTTGGGTGCTATTGACAGAGCAACGCCAGCTGAAAAAGCACATGTTATTGACAGGCTTTTCAGATAACATTATTGGCCAAGCAGTTAAAACATTTTCATCTCAAACCGCATTACAAAAACACTCTCTTGCTTGAGGAGATAGTAAGAAGTCTGTTGCAATTCCTTTCTTTACATCGATTAGGTATAAAACTGCGCGTATTTTACAGAAATTTATCTTCCGAGTGGCTTTCATTTCTACCAACAAAATTAGTCGTTCTTTGTTTAAATACTCCATTTTGGATATCAATTCTTGGGATGTAAACAGGATTTTTTGCCAATGAGTTTTAATTCACATTGGCCAGGTTAAGAGAGCTTTAAAATTTTGCTCCGTGGAACACGATGCATGCGTTAGGAAAAACCAAAACACGTGTGACCAAATACACTGACTAGCCATAATATTTAATTTTCTGCAGCCAAAATTATTCAAAAAACATCTTCCGTTGGCGAATTAGATTTTCTAGAGACATTTCACATTCATAAAAATCTTTCAGTTCCAGTTAACGATCCCAATTTCAATTCGAAAATTACCCTCAGCTTTTAAGGAAATTATTTCGTAGTTACTTTCAATTTGTATCAATAGATAGCCATAAAATAAATATAAAACCATAAAGCCATAAGCCATAAAATAAATCAATAGATTCATAAAAGTAATCCAGTTCTAGTTAACGATCTCAATTCCAATCCTAAATTTTCCTCAGCTTTTAAGGAAATTATTTCGTAGTTACTTTCAATTTTTATCAATATATAGCCCCAGTAATTTAACTTTCTTCTCCTCATTGTTATTGCCTGAACACAATTTTCTCTTTCTGAAGCTGAAAAAGAAATTTTATGCATTTAAATCTTCGAAACTAGTTCGGAAAATGTATGAATATTACGCTGATTCTTGTTGCCTTCAATAATGAACACCTTCAATAATGAAGTAATTATTTCAGTTATAGTAGAATGACAAAGAGACGAGATCCTGGTTTGAATCTCGGACCTGTATAAGGGGAACAATTTCACACATCGAATACGTTCACACTTTGTTTTCAATATGCCATACGCAAAACCTCTGTGCGTAAAGTAACATAATAAATTTTTTCAGCAGGAAACAATTATACTAATTTTCAAAACATTTTGCTTCTGGGAAAAAAATTTAAATATTTTATTGATGGTAAGAACGGTATTATATGACAGTCGCTTGTTTAAAATTAAAGAACAAGTTACGAATTTCTTTTTTAATAACTAACTAGCAAACTCAAGCGAAATTAAATCTGAAGAAAGCTACACCTATTGCAAGCTTTTTCATCTTTGATTCTGCCATCTGAAGGAGGGGGTTATTTCTTAAATACTAAGTTTAATCGTTTCAAGTTAACTAAAGCTTTAATTTTTTGTTCTAGAAAATTAAAAACAGTTTGAAGGCTACAAAAGACTGGGGCCCTAGTGATCCTGTGGACAGAGCTGGTTGGCTGGCAGTGAAGAAAGCAGTTCCAGTGTAAAACGGTACTACTGTAACAAGCATATCAGCAGTTTACAATGAATCGTTCGGAAACGATGTTAATTGACATATGCACTGATGCTGTAAATGCTGTAAATGATTCATGCTGTAAATGCTTCTCCATTTCCATAGATAAAACTTATGTACATTTAGTACGTTATTTATTTTTATATAAAAAAGGATTTTATTTTTTTTTATTTTTATTTATTTATTTTTTTTTAATTTATCAATTTTTATTTATTTATTTTTTTTTTAATTTATCAATTTTTATTGCAACTTGTCCGTCACCTTAAATAATTCTTCATTATTTCATTTTTATTGTAACCTCATGCATATGTTTTAAGTAAAGAAACAATTTTTTTTTTAATACAACCCTTCTGTTATAAGTTAATCGATTTCTCAAAGAGGATTCAAACCCAAAGCTTTTTATTTTATTTTACTTGCTCATTTTCCTAATTTCGGCTTTTAATATGCAAATCTATGAAGATTTGAAATTTAAAATTACGGAAAATGCTGTTTTTGATGGAATTTATTTTATAGGAGACTACGCATCCTGAGTGACCCGTTGTTTGCGAAATATCTTGTTAACTTGAAATACTTTCATTGCCCTTTCAATTTTGGCCAATTGTACTTAGATTTTATATTTACTTCGAAATCCTACAATCTATCTACAAGTGATCATTGGGAATTTTCCTACCATTTTAAATATTCATGTCAATAGTATTCAGTTGATTTATGAGTTGTTACTTAAAAATGGGAAATTCAGAATTTACTAATCAAAATGAGAAATACATTTAATTAAACATTATAACCTAATATACGATTTTTTATACATTTAATTAAAAATTATAACCTAATATACGACTGCCAATTTTTTTTCCTCTCAATTTACATTCATTTCTCGATGTCTAGATTGACACAGAGACTGGAATTTAGAATATAAATGAAATATAGATGGAATCTGTCGTGAGCCCCAAATGAGGATCGTCATTCAAGTAGCCCTCACCGGGAAATGAAATTCACATTGACAATAAATAGTTAGTAAATATATTCTAAAACCATTAGAGAACACGTCAGTATGCAGGATTTGGAATTGATGTATATAATAACATGACATACCGCGTTTTGAAAATGTCGAAATCTGGAAACTCACAAAACTTTTCTTCCCACAAATAATGCTCTTCAGCTCATTCATTTAACAACTACTACTCAAAACCTCATGCGAAAGCTTGAGAAAATTTTAAATAACTATGTAAAAAAGTAACCATTGTTCCCAGCCCAATTAAAAATACCAAGTTTTCGCTACTAAAACAAATCCCCAAATAGGGACCATGGCAGTTATAGGTTAATTACTCGTAATATGAAATGTAACAAAATGTGAGTTTTAGTTGCTTTTTTTTCTACATAGATTTCAGATGAAAAGATAAATGTAGATCATTTTCGATGAGAAATCTTTCAGTGTCACCACAGTGTATTTTGCTGCCTGTTATTTAATCTCTGCGCTTCATGAATTGTATTTCGTGTTTTGGCAGGAATATATGGGTATCACAAGGAATAAACATTTTCTGTTGTTGGAAATTGTTGTTGGATTGGATTGGATTATTAAATTATGGCAAAACACACGAGGGCTATCTGTCTAAAGGGAGGAATGCCTTCGTGGAGGACTTTCTAAAGAAACTAGCTCGTATACACGTCACACATGGGGAAAATCACGAAAACGCCCGTGCAACCAGCCTGTTCGCGGGATTCGAACCTCGGACCGAACTACCAGCGTTCAGCGTCTTTACCACTCGGCCGCTGGTGGGCATGTAAATTGAATGACTCTGGAAGGTTAAACGCAATGTGCTGTTACAGACGCGTCCAAATTTATCTGTTTAAAGCATTACATTTTGCTAATTTTTTAAAGTTCATTGCTTTTAGCGACTTTCAAATATTAATGCAAGGCAGAACATTAGTTCATTCATTCATACAATCTAAGATTAAATAAATCAATTATTTCCATATTCTGAACATTAAATTTTCCAATAAATATCAATTATATGCTGTGCTCTGAAAACTTATGATAGCATACCTGAAAGTAAATTATGTAAAGTTAAAATTTCTCTTCACAAGTTCACCAAATATGAGAATGCTGCACAGGATGAGCAAGAAGTCTTTCTCTGATTACAAAACCTTTTATAAATAGATATTTATTTTATTTTTTTTGGAACCTATCAATGGAGTGATTTAGTTTTCTTCAGAGCGTATTCAACAAATATTAGCAAATCTCAACGTAACCCGGTTTTGCAACTTGGAAAAAGGAAAGTCGGCGCTCCGGTTCTCGCCATGTGTTTTTGAACATTTGCTCTGACCCCTCATACTGTATTTGAACACTTGAAGAATATCTGTCATTTTGGTCTTCAAAATATCAATATCACAAACTGGTATGGCAAAAATTAGGTCCTTGATATGTCTTCTGTCTGGCTCACTAATGCTGTCAGCAATCTCAGCACTCACAGGTAGAAGTTTGGCCAACACCTCTGTAGTACCACAGGCGACTGAAGTATTGTCGAATCTACTTAACTGTTTAGCTTCCGTCCCAATTTGGGAAAAGAATAGCTTGGAGAGAATCAATACACACCCTCTTTCTCTAACACTAATCTGCCAAGAGGCCTTTTGGCTCGCCGTGCATTTTGAGTGTTCTCTTGCCGCACAGACATTATACGCTTACAAACATGCAGCCTTTTCCTGGGCGGCCTTTCATCACTCACAGGTTACAGGTGATGGAAGACGGGGATGCCTGATATCTAACAGGAGTAAGCAAGTATTTATCCCACGGCTTCCCCTATTTGGAGATACTCACACCTCTCGTGAGGCCCTTAAATAAGCTCTAGCGGGAGTATTTAAACAGCTGATTCTTACATAAGTATGGGAGTGGTAAAGGTTTTCTCATATACGATAGTTCCTTGCGTCTGCGGAGCAATGTTTAATATTATATGCATGACAATAATATTTATATACAATGTATATACAGTACATAACGTAAATATTAATGCAATACACTTAAAATATAAATAATTAAACTTAACACTAACTGAATTAAACTTTTAAAACACAGCAAAACAAAGCATTAAAAGTATACACAAATAATACATTTGTGATCACCCAAATTAAAAAATAATTTAAGCGCTTCAACTAAATACATATCCACTTAAAGTTTTCGATGCAAATGGGTCTTTTACTTACATATTTATAAATTATATTTAAATTAAAAAATTATGTTTTAAAATACACATGTTATAGTTATTTTAACTTAAGATACAATTAAATTGACTATTCGCAGTTAAATGTCTTCGTCAGTGTTTAGAATTTGAGTTTAAATTCTTTAGGTAGTTCTTCAGCACTAGTTCTGTTGTAATAATTACTTCTGAACTTATTGCCGTCTTCATTCTGTATTACAAATATATTGCCTCATAGCTGAAATAGCGTTGATTGTACTGCAGATTGATGCACGGTGGTGTGAATCAATCAGATAGTATAGGTGGTGCTGTTGCACCAAATCTGGTTCCGATAACAGAACAGTACCTCATCTTAATAAATGTAGTATGTGAGCTCTGCAAAATTTCTTCAAATACGAACAACAGACAGATCATAAGCAGCTACCCCTCTGTTTACGATAAGGTAGTTCATGACCCCTCATACTGGTTTTGGCAATAAATTTCTTTAAAGAGTCCACATTGCATATCGGTGGAGGTAAATGAGGGGCATCTGTAAGTGGACAGTAAAATACTTAATGGTCAGGTGAGCCTTCTAATCCGCAGACACGTGTACTTGTATGAAGCAAAAGCAATTAAAACAGGTTGTATAGGGGATATGTCCTCTAATAAAATTAGTTAGTTGTGAGATGACTATGTGTCTGTTTGTGCTAACTTTAGGAATGAAGCTATATGCGTCTGCCAGTCAGTCTTAGAAGTCTGTCAATCTGCCATTGTTGTATGCCTTTTCACGTAAAATTGTTTTTGGGTAGGAATAAGATGACTAGATATTTAGCTCCTCTGCTTCCTAATTACGGCTTGCTTCTTTTGTTTTCTTTTCTCATCACCCACATTTCTATTCGTGGAAGGATATTAATTTTCCAAATTTCTTTCAAATCTAAGATATTTCCTTCCTTCTTACCTCGTGCTTTCTTTGTGCGATCGAAATAGCACATCCGGGGCTAGTAATCGGGAAGTAGTGCTCAAAACTCAGTGAAGGCAATTGAACATTTTTCGTGTCTTCTGTTCAAAAAAAAAACCTAAAGACACTATACTTTTCATACCGGACTTAATACTTTTAATACCTGGAAAAATGAGTCCATAGACATTTCTAAGCGAATGCTAATAAGGGATTTAGATTCCTGTTACAATAAAATACGCTCACCACATGCGTTTTTGTTTTATTGATGTCATTTTTTGCTACCTATTCTTTAATGCCATATAGTGTATGGTATAAACTCTAACAACAGAAACGATTAATGATAAAAATTTCATATAGCTACTTTGTGCTACTGCTTTGTGAAAACGTTTTGTTATCTGACAAACATCTTTTGCCCCTCCTGTAAAATAACAGCATTGTACTTCTTTGAAGAAAATAGTTTTGTTTCATATTTTAGAACGAGTAATTTTAAATGCCAGTCGGGGACATGGAACCACATAAATAAGAATTCAAAATAGACTTCTGACCTCTTTGAAGAAATCTTCAATTTGTCATTTCTCTCATCGTTTAAACAGTTATAAAAAATATAAACTGTTAAATTTATGACAAAAAAAGGACTTTCAAACTTTTTATAATTAGTTTCGCAACAATGGTTTATCTGATAGGCTCTCATCTCCTTTAATTTCCTTACTCAAAATAATTTAGTCCAACTCTGGTGAAGTCTATTAATCGAAGGATATCTTTAGTCATGTTAACCAGAAGATTACTTCCTTATCTGAAATGCAGATGAGAAAGATTCATTTAATAATACCTCCTTGCTAATCAGAGAAATGAAATTAAATTTACTGTTATGATGATTTCGTAAATTGATAGGCAAAGAATGAAACTTACGTTAACATTTCCCCTAATTTAAGCATTTAATCGACAATTAACTTCGAATAATTATTCGAAGTTCAGATTTTGAGCGTGAAGGTGCAGTTGCCCCTCGCTCCCTATTATTAACTTCGCTAATTTTTCTTGTCCTTTGTGTTACATGATTACATTGATTAGATAGCCTGGATCAGTGAAAGTAGGCTACCAGTGTAACTCTGATTAAAAATCCGGTTATAACCACGTGCAGTGCTGATAAGGACCACGTATTTCTGAGACTCCTTCCCCTTTATTTTTCTTCTTTCTTTGTATTTCTTTCTCCTGATGCGGATTGACCTTTAGCTGCCCTCGTAATCGATTGAGTGTTTCAATATACTTACACTAAATACGAGTACAAGGTTGTTTTTACGATTTTGATCTTACAGATTTGTTTAGGGTACAAAAGGAGTTGTTTGAAAAGAATTTCTATGTCATTTTCTTGGCTGTATGCTAATCTCCTTATTTTATATTAGTTCTAAATTTTTACCTCGAAATCTTGCTTATAATCAAACGGCGAGCCCTAGGTGTGCCCAGACCAGGCTCACCGATCATCTAGGACAACTGAGAGTCCGCATTCTTTGTTTCTCCGCATCTCATCGGTCAGTTCATTGACAACAATGCTCGTTTCAGCACTCTTTTCCAAGCTCTATTCAATCAGTGTGCCACTTTGGGCACAACCCACAGAATTAAAACTATAAGTACTATCTTCACAAAATTTTACTTGTGTACTCCTCTAGGCCTAATTAGAATGCCTAACTTTTTTTTTTTTTATCAAACCTCCGACTTTAAAAAGTAGCGTGCCGGAAAGGGTTAACAACCTCATCCACTATAATTATGGTGTACTACATCACAGGGCATGGGCCCTTTCCAGTATATTTTGAGAGATTTGGAATCTCCAATTCGGATCAGTGCTGCTGCGGCGATCTGGGCACAGCAGAACACTACGTTCATGAATGTCCTCTCACGGAGGGAAAGCACATTCCGTTCCCGCAGACGAACAGGGAGGCATTCAACAGATTTATGGTCAAGCAGCGACACCAGAGCAACAAAATTACTCATATAGTTGATAAGCTAATGGACATGGGTCCAGACTTATGCCATGTGTAAATATAACTGGTCAGTATGTCAGCTAATTTCAATGTAAATCAGTATCATTCAAGCATAAGTAATCTAGATATGTCTGCGATGTGTGCATATAGTGTGGGCAAGCGTGTCCTAATGTATGTTATTATTATTATTATTATTATTATTTTATTTTTATTTTTATTTTTATTGTGCTAGGTGTATATACTAGCTCTGTCTTATTATTCCAAAGCAAATTAAGGTAATGTTATGTAGGTATTTAGAAAGTATATGTATGTAACAGTGCTGGATTGCATGTCAGCAAATATGTATTAACAGAAGCATGTAAATAACTACTAATGTATATCTGCCCTTGTTTAGCCATGTACAATGCTATTCTTGAAAATTCAAAATCAATGGATCCGGGCACTTTGGACGGGTGTCTACCCGGTGGTATTTGGTTCGCGGAACTGCCAACCGGATGGTCCAGGCGTTGGGTTTGGGCGCCTTGTGCAAGTCTCCCCATGTGGTCTCTCTGGCTTTACTATGTATAAGGGCGGATGTGGCTCTATATGCTAATTAACTTAAATAGTAAAGGGGTGGTGGCCACGTCCTCCGTCACTATCACTATCACTATAATTTTAAAAAAATGTATTTCTACTTGAGTGGATGAATAAAAAGCATTTGATTAACGACTGAAAATTTAAACAAGATATAGGAAGAGTGTGAGCTAATAGTAAGATTTTTTTTTTTTTTTTAATGGAAGTTGTACAAAGCAAAACGTATGCGTTTCTTGTTAAAAAAATAGTACAAAACTGTATGAAATGTATGAATGTATTAAATGTATGGATTATGTATGAAATATATGTATTATGTATGAATCTATTAAATGTAGGGATTATGTATTAATGTATGGAAATGCACGGATATTCGAAGCCAATCGCAGATATATTTCATACCTTTGCCGGTTTGTCATTCGGCATTCTATAGAATGCCTAGGAAATATATGAAATGTTAATCACTACCGGCTAGTTTCAGCATTCTATAGTAGAATGCCTGACTTTCATACATTGCCGGTACTACATATAAACACATTTCATAACATGAACATCGTTACGTCTTCAATTGTAAGATTAGCTCAGATAAACATATAGAAGCCTTTATTAACATAATAAAATGAATGCAGGTGCAACAAACAGACAATGATTGTGTTATTTACACTTCTACTCTGAAGATCTCGCATGCAGAGGAATGTCTAAGACAGCAGCCTACGAGTCCTTTGCAGAAACACGAATGTTACATCGTCATGTAAAGAAGTGTGATTGTCATTCCGGGCTTCACTGGTACTTGACTCCTGTTGGGTATGCAGACGTTGTCGTAGACAACCTGAAATAATAATTCCTCTTAGAATTTTATCCTAAAACTTATAAGGATTTATTACTGAGCTACATACTCAGCTACCTTTCGAATTTTCCTGATTTTAGTTTTCAACCCACAGAAGCCGCCGCTTAATGTGATCATGTTTGCCCACGGCTACTTAACCGAACGATAACATTAAACGATGCGAAAAGGTATCCTTCAAAACAGCAAAGGAACTTAACTAATTTAATATAAATATGAATAGAAACATGTAATGAGTTTATTTAGCAGCACTTTATATAGGAAAAAGAGACGTTATGAGTGATTGTCTGTGAGCTTTATGTAAAAGTTCATTTATGAAATGCATTAAATGTTTCTGGGAATTATTTTGTAAGTTTATAAGGTATATCTCGCACTTTCTTGGCGTGCTTTCGTGATGTAGTAGTTCTGCACACTGGGACGGTATTCCAGAGGTCCGCGGTTCGATTCCCGGCGAAGGCGTTGTTAATTTTTCATCTTTCCTGCTTCCAAAAAAATACCTAATGTCACTACAAGGTGCAAGTTAATTTTATAACAATTATTTTTAATTTTGAAACCCTTTCTTGTCTATTCTTGTTTCCCACTTACAACTCCCTACCAGAATGAACTCTTAGAATCAGGTGGAATGCAAATGAGTTAGAAGTAGTATTTAAAGGAAGTTCAACTTACTTCGAAAGAGAGTGCTTAGGAGTCCTTAGCGACACGTGCTTGCCTTCTGATTTATTCATTCTTGAATCTATTACGCTCGGCCGTATTGTACGTGCCTGCTTTAACCACCGGCTAGTTTAAATTAAGGGCCAACTGCGTGAAATATTTGTGTCTAGCTTTACCCTGATTTAAAAGCCTAAGTGGAGGCTTTCCTGTAAGCCCGAGAAGGGGCCGTCTGTCATTATTTCGTCTAGTGAATAAAAGGGTATTTTAACACTTCTCAAATATATGTTGCAAGTACTTAAACTCAGCGATAAGCCGTTACTTAGTTCACTAGGTTCCTCGATATCTGGACATAGACAAAATGCGAGGGACATTACAATTTGATTGATGCTATACTCCTAATTTTAATACTCGGAGGGCGTTCTTATATCAGCTTTCATAGGAAATCTACCGATTTCATGTTTATGTTTTTAGGAAGGTTATTATATATGACATGCTTGCATATATTTCAGAAAGCTCTTGGCAGATATCTTTAGTACGAAGAAGAAAGACGTGTGTCTAATCAATCTCGAAATCAAGAGTTATCAAACATTTTGCGCTAAACTAAACAGAAGTTACTTTTTTTGCCTAATTTTAAATGGTTGGCTATATTAAAAATTAAGCATTCTGTTGACTCAATTCCTTACTTGGTGACATTTTTCAATTAGATGGCATTTTTTAAAAATTATTTTGGCCTTATTTTGAGAATTTATTTCGGTTTAAAATATTCAATTAATATTAATTAATAATAATGTATTCATTATACATTATTATAATTAATATTAATTGAATGTATTCATAATATAATATTTTATGTAATGTATTCATAATTATGACATATTACATTCATATTTATGTAATGCGTAATGTATTCATTATATAATATTTTGGTAATATTAACCGAAATTTTTATCACAATAAGCGAAGTATTTTCTGTGTTTTCGTGTACAAACGAGCGGAACTTTGCAATACCGGCCAAATTCACGGTTACTTGAAGAGCCAGAAAATGTTTTAAACAAAATGAAAAAGGTTATTAAGAATACAAAAAAAATGTAAACTAACTTTTAAATAAATTCAAATTCTCTACACGTTGAAGTAAACACTAAATAAATTACGTTTAATCTGGAAACCGCAAATTTTAGAAAACTGAAGCTCCACCAGCTGTCGCCAACAAACTAAATTTATTGTTTGCACCAACGTGAGAAATTCTGCTACCTTACCTTAATCATGTGGCTTGCGTGTAAGTGACAAAGATAGAAATCCCATTTTATTCAACCTCTGTTTTTTTTTTAATCCTGCAATAGCAGTCGCGCACACAAGCTCAGTCCATTTCTTTATGTCTCTAAAATTATAAGCATCGTGTTTGCAAAAAACTATAATTAAAATGTATTCGTAGTCTGCATACAATTGCTTCGGGGATTCGTAGTCTGCATACAATTGCTTCGGGGCCACGAATTTGACACCACTGCATTAAAACACGCTGCAACATTCAACAAAAAAATCTAAGCAGTTGAAAATTGTCGAATAAAGATTACTTCAACTACCTCTCCAGCTCACTGGTACCTTTAAAAGGTATTCCCCACCCCTCAAAAGGTGGACCAGTTTTTAGTGTGTTTTGAATCCACAACTTCGGCATCACACAGTTAATAAGAAGGAATACAAGTCCGTATAAATAAACTTGCTAAACATCATGTCTCCTCTTTAAACGGAAAGCTGCAACAACACGTTTGTTCTCTTAGGAAACTAAGAATTTTATTGAGGGAGTGTCCTGAATCTGACAAGTGAAAATAAATAGCAGTGAATAAAGGATTTCTATTTTCGTGTAAATACAGAATGAAGTTTGATGTTTTATCAATGTTCAATTCCATGCGCTTGTTTCTAGTAATCTTGCAGACATACCCTCAATAAAAGCATTCTTGCTGCTTGCTTCCAATAGAGCATATGTACGTGGTGTAATTTCAGTAAAGCGAGTAATAATTCTGGAATGTTGCTTATTAGTATTTAATGGTAGTTGTAGTACGCAACCAAGATATATTTTATACATCCAGAAGAAAAGCAAGGATAAAAAAGTTTATAGAGTAATATTTCAATCTGCTTCATTAAACTACTGTTTAGATATTTATTGTTTGACTAGTTACATATACAGTCAAAATTCTTTAATCTGGACGTCCATAATCCGGAATGATCTATAATCCGGACGTCAAAGCTACAAACTTTCAGCAACGCATGCGCATAATACCTTTCAAGCATGCGCGTTTAATGTATAACGGAAGGTATAAGCTAAAATTATCCAATTATCTATTTCAGTTAATGTTGCAGATTGCGTTGTTTCTTAATCTTCTAATTGGATCCGGCTTATTATTTTTCGCAGACTGTTAGAACAATTTTATAAAAGTAAGCATAAACTTTCGATTATGTCAAAAAGAATTTCCGATTCTGGAGCTACCAAAGCATCTACAAAACGAAAGCATGTTCCGATGTCCATCAAACAAAAAGTGGAATTGCTGCAAAAAAATGGATAAAGGCGTATTCTTTGATTTTCTAATCATTCCGAAATATGTTTATAAATTCCACGGTGCTCTGCGGGGGGGGGGGGGAACGACGCGGCACGCAATGAACTGGAAGTTGATCTGTCAGCACTACCCTTATCTTCAGGGCAGATGTTTTTATTTTAATCGGCTTATAATTCCTTACTAAATGTAGTATTTCATCTCGATGTACTCCGTCTTTGATATGATTTAAATCAAATTCCTCGTCATTATAAATATCACGAATACATATCAAATAGTTTTCTGGTTAAAATTTTCTAATTTCGACTATGCGTAATGTATGCTTTACGCATGCACGCGTTGAAAGAAATGTTTAATAAAGTAAACAAATAAATATAAAGCTTTTTTATTTGTAAATTTTGATACCCTTTAGATTATAATTGCGCTTTATTTCATAAATTACGGTTTCATATTTTTAATTTTATAATTTCTGCATGCCATCTTACCAGATTTAAACTGATGATCAATAATCCGGAAAAACCGATAATTCGGAATAGCCGAAGTCCCGACGAGTCCGGATTAAAGACTTTTGACTGTATAAACTGTTATTATACAGGGTGACTGCTAATTCATGGTACAAACTTTGAGGGCTGGTACAGGACACTGAAGCAATCACATTTTGTAAATTAATTTTAATTAATTTTTTTAGTTTTAAATTAATTTTAATTAATTTTTTAGTTTTAAATTAATTTTGTAAATTAGTTTGCACTTGTAAACGAGGTTATCAAAATAAAACACTTTCCCTATCATTTGTTCTTTCCTGTGTTTGTGCTTCGATGCTTCACTTTTGGCCATACTTTCCTATATAAAATGTGAATGTCCTGTTCCAGCCCTCAAAGTTTGTACCATGAATTAGCAGTCACCCTGTATATGTAGTTAGATTTCGTTTATTAGTTGTAAATTTATTTTTTTTTTAATTTGACATTTTCAAAAATCGTACTCTGTTTCCAAATTTCCTAAGATATTTGAAAATTAGAGCTTTATATCCTTGCAGATCTGACTGTTCCTCGCAAAGTAGGGATTTCGTATTCGTCTTAGTCTATTAGTAACACAACATATACTATTAGTAACACAACATATACTATTAATTAATAATATAATATTTTATCTTTATTAAGTAGATTCAAAAGTAAAATAACTGATCAGTTTTGTAGAAAAGTGTTTGACCTTGAAAAGGAACGGTAAGTAGACTACGTTCGACATCCAGATTTTCTAAAATAATGCAGTTAAATCTATTATACATCACACATTTTAGACGATGTATATTGTATTTACAAAACTAAATTACATAAAATTCTTGTGTTTTAAATGTTCTATTTGACATCCCTTATTCTGAACTATCTTTCGACACTGCATTTTCCAGGATAATAATGCCTTTTGAAGTGGCAGAAGAGGTATCCTGTCCCATTCCTCCCGAACAGCTTTCCATAGTCCTGTTAGGGTTTTGGGACAACGTTTGGATAATGCAGTTTTTAAAAGTCCGAAAGCACAAAAATCCATAGGTGACACATCGGAAGATTTAGTAGGGATACCAGTGAAGGGTATGGCCTTGATATCACTTTTTTGGTGCATTTTGTTTAGGAAATTTACAGTGGATTTTGATGTGTGACTGCTAGCTTTGTCCTGATGGAGTCTCACAGACTGATGGCACTGTGGGTAAAGCGATGGTATTTGAGAAAAATTGGGGATCAAATATGTTCCTGATAGTATTTGGAGTTAATCTTGACATTTTTTTGCACTCTCTTTATT